TCGACGCTTTGGTTCAGAGGGTGGTCGGGCGGCGAACCACGACGGGCTTGTTTTGTTTTTGATAAACGTAAGTCGTCTGTATCGCCATACAAATAATTGCAACAAATGCTGACTAGATTTTATTTGCCTTAATTTTGTTTACTTTTGCGCTTCTTCCATAGATTAAATCAGAGAACAAAAAGTTTTGCTTTGCAGAATCTTCTCTCAGTGCAATATATGATTGTGACTATAGAGATTGTGACTATAGATGTCAATTGTTGTTCATGTCGCGATATTCTCGACTTTGTAAATAATTATGCAAAGTTGTTCGACCCCTGTATTGTTGCCTCTCAAGTGTAGCAGCTAATCCCGCCAAGTCTCACTGGACAAGAGGTCCCTGTCGCTGCCAGCACTTGTTCCTGACGTCTGCAGCCAACCGATTCGCAATGCCTGATTCCCGAAAAGCTGTTGCATACCGTTTGACACTCACGTCTCACCGCATGTTTCTATCCAAGCTGTCAGCTGTCTCGCTGTGTAGCCGTGCGTGTGGAGTTATAAAATAGATTATTGACGTAAAGCAGCGATTCATAATCTGTCGTCGTTCTTTGTTCTTTTGCAAATTATGTTTGCTTCACTCGCTCTCTCTTCCCTCCCACCCTCTTCGCGTTCCATTCCTCTGTTCTCACTTCGGGCGCCCGGTCGCGTGTCGACTACGCCTTCCCTGGCATTCCGCCCGGGTAGCGGCCACCCTGGACCTCGTACTTTGCCCGGATGGCGTCCAGCGCGTCCAAGTCCTCAATGGTCAGGTCGACGACTTTGAGGTTCTCGCGCACGCGCTCCACGGTCGTGCCGCCGGGGATGGGGATGATGGTGGCGGGCATGCCGGCTCGCAGCGACTGGCAGCGCGCCCAGTTGATGGCCAGCTGGGGCAGGGTGCAGCCCTTGCGGGCGGCGTAGGCGGCGAGCGCGTCGACGAGCTGCAGGTTCTGGGGCAGGTTGTCGGCGGAGAAGCGGGGGAAGCGGGCCATGGCGCCGTACAGGTCGGCCTGCGAGCGGACCTGGCCGGTCAGCAGACCGCGGCCGACGGGCGAGTAAGCAATTATGGGGATGTTGTGCTGGGCACAGGCGGCGGCGACGCCGTCGGTCAGAATGTCGGCGGTCAGCAGGGACAGCTCCTCCTCGCAGGCGGCAATCGGGGGCGCGCCGACGTCGGCGGCGGCGGCCACGGCGGCGTGGACGGAGTCGGCGGTCACTTCAGACAGCGAGATGGCCCGGAAGGCGCCCTCCTGGATGAGCTCCTGGAAGGCGGCCACGGTGGTGGGCCAGGGCGTGACGCGGTCGTGGCGGCCGACCTCGAACAGGTCCATGACCTTGCGGCCCTGCAGTTGGGCGGCGCTGTCGAGGACCGAGCGGCGCACGTTGGCGCGGCCGCTGTCGGGTTTGAAGGTGTTGGGCTTGTCCATGCCGCCCTTGATGCTGAGGACGACGCGGTCGGCGTCGTCGGGGTACTTTGCAAAGTACTTTTCGAGCAGCACGAGCGAGTTGGCCGACTCCGGACCGTAAAACTCGCCGCCGTTCCAAAAGTTGGCGCCGGCATCGAGGGCGGCGCGCATGGCGGCAATCTTCTCGTCGTCGGACAGCGGACTGTCTGGCCGCGTTAAGCCTGAGAGGTTAGCAGAGGGAAGAGTAAGAGATGCCGCGATGGTTACGTGACTTACCCATCAGGCCGTAGCCAATCGGACCAACTTGTTTACCAGCGAGCTGCGGCATATTGTGAGATGTTGATGATCAAGAAGGATGGCTATGGCGATGAGGAGGTAAAATAAACTGTAGAAAACTGTGATGCTGAGAATTGTAGATGTTCAGTGGATTGACGATAAGAGACGGCCAAAAACTAATATCCAAGTCGACGACGATGTCGCCATTTATACCTTTCGTGGTCCATCGCAGTCCCCGTTGCCTTCGTGGTCGTTCATCGATATCAATGTCCTTTAGAGTGTTAGTGATAGGCAACGCAGCATATGTACAGCGTATTAGTTCGTAGTTCACAGATGCATACTTCTGTACCGTCACAGCGACAGCGTTAACTCCTGAGCCGACACCGGACAGGGCGAATGTGCTTATGTCCCGCCGTGTCTTGGCGAGCATAAGTCCGGGGCGAGCGAGCACTGGAGACGTGCTAAGCACGCTGGAAATGCGCTGGAGTCGCGTCAACGATCCACTAAAAGTGCCATAAACCCGTCCGCGCCAACGTCATTTTATTTGTCTGGAGTTAACAATCGTGAACTCGCGAGGCAGTTGTGCCGGCGGCATTTGCTCGGAAACGCACTCTTGGACAAATGTGAGAGTCAGTGAGAAACACAATGATCCACGAAGACGTGTCTGTAAGCGGCACAGTAAATGACATTCGACTGTGGAGTGAGAGGGCGAGAGAGCGGATTTTGGTGACGGACAGACGGCCAATTGAAGCAGTCCGATGAGAATCATGAATTGGGATACTTTGACAGACAAGGCTCACAGCAGCGAAGAGGCACACGACATTGGTACACTGTTCTACAATAGAAATTGAGGTTGCAGGGGATGTGACAAGTCGTTGCTTAAGCCACTGTCTCACACATCGTGGGGGGAGCGATTCCTGTCCCAGTAGGATATGCATTAGACTGACACCCAGTAACGTGCCATCGCGTTGCGGATATGGTCATACAAGGAAAAAAAGGGGGGGAGAAGACGGCCTTTTGCATCGTCCTCACAACAAAACAGTCACCCAAAGAGGACATGCAAGGCACGGAGAAGGCCAAAGGCGCAAAACCACGCCTCAGAAAGCTCCATGAGACAGATCACACAACAATGCAAGCGACGTCGTTCGGTCTCCGCCGCGTTGGTGATGTGGCAAGCATAAATATTCTAAGGGTTCCACTCACATTGGTGAAAATTGGTCATGTTGTAAGAATTACTCCATGAAGATGACAAAGATATGCTATGTCGCCTGTACTAATTACCAGTGCCCGTGGCCGCATGGCCTGCCCCTGTCTCTTGGCGTGAACCCCGCTATGCCACGCATAACGTCATTATTCAGCGCCTTCAGTATTCGGAGTACATTAGTGGCCCGTGCAGACACCGTATCAGCATTATGTGGTAATTGCATCTCCGGACAAAGTACTCGTAAGCCACTGACATCAGCCAGCGGCGACCGTACGGCGGCCGTACGGCCGTCGCAATGTTTCTGCTCCGTACAGAATACACGGCTGACAAAACTGTAGAATGTGATGCAGATGGACAGAAGGGGCCAACATCAATTGACAGCTCCCTTCACGAGCCAGCAGAGACTTGAGATATAAAGACGTCTCGCCGCCGCTGAATGGACAAAAGACGCACACAACATCAACACCACCAATAAACCAATTGTTAGTTGGCTGTTTTCTCTTCATACAGTCCACTGTATACCATCCACCTTCCGCACGTGGCGATCCACTCCTCCGATTCCTCATCTGCCTCTTCATCGTCAACTACCATGCACTACGCTCAGGTCCAGGCCTTTGGCCAACCGCCACAGTACCTCGAGGGACCTGACCTGCCTGAGCCCACAGGCAACCAGATCCGCCTCAAGGTCCTCGCCTCGGCCGTCCACCGCCTAGTGCAGATGCGCGCCAAGGGCCAGCACTTTTCCGCCACATCGGCGCCGCTGGACCCCTCGTCGGACGGCGTCGCGGTCGACGAGGCCACCGGGCAGGTGTACTACGTCGGCACCTTTGCCGCGCCCCTGTTTGCCGAGTATGCCAACGTCGACAAGGCGCGGCTGGTGCCCCTGCCCGCCGGGGCCGACCCCGTGACCGTCGCCGCGCTGGCCAACCCGGTGCAGTCGTCGTGGATGTCGCTGGCGGCCCGCGTCAACCGGGACGTGCTGCCCAAGGATTTCTCCGTGCTGATCCTGGGCGTCACGGGCACGAGCGGCCGCGCGGCCGTCGACGTGGCACGCCAGTTTGGCGCCGGCACCGTGGTGGGCGCCGGCCGCCGCGCGGCGCCGCTGCAGGCGCTGGTCGCCGACAAGGTGCTGGACGCATACCTGGTGCTCGACGACGCGACCCTGGCAGCAGCGACGCGCGCGCTGGGCCACGTCGACGTCGTCCTGGACTACGTCTGGGGCGCGCAGGCGGCCACCGTGCTCAACAACCTGCAGCCGGGCGCCGCGGTGACGCAGTACGTCAACATTGGCACGACGGCCCAGGAGGAGACCCTCGCGCTCAGTGCCCAGACGCTGCGGTCCAAGAACCTGACGCTCAGCGGCGCCGCGCCGGGGAGCTACACGCTGGCCGCGGCCGGCAAGGAGCTGCCGGCCATTGTGGCCATGGCGGCCAGCCTGCCCAAGCCCGCGGATGTGGTGCCGTACCCGCTGAGCGAGGTCGCGCGCGTCTGGGACACGGACGAGGCGCGGAAGAAGCGGCTGGTCTTGTTGCCGGAGACGTCGTAGGTGGGCAAATCTACGCTGATGGCTGGGCATTTTTATCGTGTCATGAAATTTAGTTGATACACGTCCAAGTCACCCGATTTCAAGTTGCATAGGACTATGTGCTAGCCTTTCCCGAGAAATAGGAATGTCCGGGTATTGTCCAAGGCTGTGAGCGTGGCCAAGGTCGGCAGAAGCAAGCCGACGTATCTGCTTTAACCGTAAAGAGAGGAGAGCATATGACACGGAATATTACCAAATGCTGCCTTCTGGCACAACGAAATTGTAACGTAAGGAACACAACGAGGGCACTTATGACGAGTATTTGCTTACACAGTGGCTTGTCCTAATTCGTGGGAAATCAACAGTCATGGGCGAACGGCGGAGGAGGAAAGAACATGGAGAAAAAGAATAAAAAGAATGGAAAAGAGATAAAAGAATACGAAGAATGCAGAAAAAACAAAAAAAAAGGGTACAAAACACACTTCACTTCTCATGTAACACCCTCATCGTCTCTACGTCTACGTGTCGTCTGCGCATATTGTCGTCGTTGTAGTTGTATCGCATGTCCGCCATCATGCCGTCTTGCCGCCTTGCCGTGCTTGCCCTGCTGTTGGCTGGTGTGGCACGCGCCGACGTCGTCTGTGCGCCCATCCCTTCACCGTTTCCCACCTACCAACAACTCCCGGACCAGCCTACGCTGCCCGACCCATTCTTGCCGCTGGCATACACCACCATCGACAGCGAGGGCTTCTCGTTGCCGGACGTCCTCGGCGGCAAGGGTCGGCACCGCGTCCAAACGCCCGAGGAGTGGTACAAGTGCCGCCAGCCCGAGATTTTGCAGCTGCTCCAGCACTACCAGTACGGCGTCTACCCGGACCACGCGCAGGAAACCGTGACGGCCACGCGGTCGGGCACGACGGTCCGTATTTCGGTGACGGCCGGTGGCAAGACGGGCCAGTTCAAGGCCACGCTCGCGCTTCCGACGGGCGCCGCCTCGTCCAAGCCGGCCCCGGTCATCATCAACATCGGCGGCATGCAGAGCGCGCCGTACCTGGCGGCCGGCATTGCCGTCGTCGGCTTCGACTACACGAGCGTCGCGGCCGACAGCAGCAGCCAGACGGGCGCCTTCTGGGACGTCTACAAGGGCCGCGACATTGGCGTCCTGACGGCCTGGGCGTGGGGGTTCCACCGCACGCTGGACGCGCTGAACCAGACGGTGCCGGAAATCGACCCGACGCGCGTCGGCGTCACGGGCTGCTCGCGTCTCGGCAAAGGCGCCCTGGCCGCGGGCCTCTTGGACACCCGCATCACGCTCACGATGCCCATGTCCTCGGGCGTCCAGGGCATGGGGCCCTACCGCTACCACGCCATGAGCGGCCAGGACGAGACGCTCGAGAACAGCAAGGCCGGCGCCGGCTGGTGGAGCGACGCGGCGCTGGGCACATTTGTCCACCACGCCGAAAACCTGCCCTACGACGCCCACACCATCGGCGCGGCCCTGGCGCCGCGCGCGCTCGTCATCGACCAGGGCACGGGCGACCAGTTCACCAACAGCAAGGCCACGGCAGTTGTCGTCTACCCGGCCGCCAAGGCGGTGTACGACTGGCTGGGCGTCGGCGACAGGATCGGCATGAGCGTGCGCAGCGGCGGGCACTGCGACATGAGCGGGTTCACGGCCGTGCTGCCGTTTGTCAAGACGATTTTCTTCAACGCGACGCCGACGCACGACTACAATAATCTGGGAATGTACGGGTCGCCGATGACGAGGACCTTTCCGTGGGCGACGGCCATTCCGAAAGTGTAGACGAGCAGGCGGGCCGGTGGCAAGGCTCTAAGAAAGCCGAAAGACAAAACAAAGCGGAGGCTGAGGGATGCGGTGTTGGGATGGTCAGCTATTTGAACAAGTCGTTTTGATCATGAGATGTATCGCGCGTGTCGATGCAAAGTAGGCGGTGTAAATAGTGGCACAACACCACAATCTTGCATATTCACACGCTCGTCCCTAGGGTTGACAAGGACCTAAGTCTAGCACACCTCCGCGCCTCCCGGCGCTAAGCGCCCTAAGAATACACGCCGTAGTGTTTTGCCCGCCCACTAAACGTCCTGCCGCGTCCCCAAACCTACTAAAGCTCCCTGATCGGGCCCGCTCCATTGCTCTTTCCCATTCGCGCTAGCCCCTATTTGTCCAGGCCGCGGCTGCCCACTGCCTTCTGTCCTCCTTACATCACTTTCCGACGACGGCATCGTCACTCCAACGTCACCCATCACCAACCACGTCCACCATGGACTTTTCCACCCTCTCGACACACGTTCTGCGTGCCGAGCTCGAGCGCCGCCATGGCGGCGGCAGCAGTGCCGACAGCGATGCACCGCGGCCCGAGTGCGGCTCGGGCAAGCGCGGTAACTACGAGACGGGTCTGCACGTCTTTGCCCTCTTTCTGATTCTCGCCATCAGCGTCCTCTCGTGCGGCTTCCCCCTGTTCAGCCGGCGCGCCAGCGGCATGCGCCCGTCCAACGTCGTCTTCCTGTCGCAGCACTTTGGCACCGGCGTCCTCATCGCCACCGCCTTTGTGCACCTCCTGCCGACCGCCTTCGTCTCCCTCACCGACCCCTGCCTGCCGCCCTTTTTCAGCCAGGGCTACACGCCCCTCGCGGGCCTCATCGCCATGGTCTTTGCCATTGGCGTCGTCGGGCTCGAGTCGTACCTGACCACGCGCGGCGCCGGCCACGCGCACTCGCACGCGCACATGTGGGAGGAAGTCGACACCGAGGACAACGACGAACACCAGCGGCCCTCGGGCCAACGCGCCCGCAGCTCGTCGACAACAACGGTCGGGACCGGCCTGGCTGCGCGCCGCGGCACGAGCTACCGGCCCGACAACATTGCCTTGAACGACGTCGCGGCGAGCGAGGGCGAGGGCCTGATGGCGGGCGCGTCGCCCCTGCCCGAGTCGTCGCCTGTGCCGCCTGTCAACGGCAACGGCAGTGGAAATGGACACGGACATGGACATGGAAACGGAATGGGAAACGGCTATCAGAAGACGAAGCGCTCAGACGACAGCCGGGATGGCGCCGGCAGCGACGACGGCGAAGACGGGTCGCTCGACCTCGCCCTGCACCTCGACGAGCTCGACCCGGCCACCACCACGGCCAGCCACGGCCCGAACCAAGGCGAAGGCATCGCGCCCCACCGCCCCGACGCCGAGGAACAGAAGCGGCTCATGCTGCAGTGCATGCTCTTGGAGGCCGGCATCCTGTTCCACAGCGTCTTCATCGGCATGGCCCTCAGCGTCGCCACGGGCCCCGCCTTTGTCGTTTTTTTGGTCGCCATCGCCTTCCACCAGTGCTTCGAGGGCCTGGCCCTCGGCAGCCGCATCGCCGCCATCCACTTCCCCCGCGCCTCCTACCGGCCCTGGCTCATGGTCCTGGCCTACGGCGGCACGACGCCCCTGGGCCAGGCCATTGGCCTCGTCGTGCACAACCTCTACGACCCCATGAGCCAGACGGGCCTGCTCATGGTCGGCATCATGAACGCCATCTCGAGCGGCCTGTTGCTGTTTGCCGGCCTCGTGCAGCTGCTGGCCGAGGACTTTTTGACGGAAAAGAGCTACACGACGCTGCACGGCCGCCGGCGGACGCAGGCGTTCGTGTCGGTCGTGGCCGGCGCCACGCTGATGGCTCTCGTAGGGGCGTTTGCATGAGGGTGGCAGTATGCTGTATGCTGTATGCTGTATGCTGTATGCTGTATTGTTGTTTGTTATAGTTGCCTTTCGTTCCATGCTCACATGGTCGCATCCACGACGGCGTTTGGTGCAAGTGCTGCGTGATTTCTTTTTTTATCTGTTCTTGTTCACGTTTTGTCTTGTTTTTATATTCAAATCCGGTTCAAAAGCAATAGACTGCTGTATACACTCGTTTTTGTATTCTTTTTTTGACCTCGTTTCTCCTTCTCGCGCTGTTCTCTTCGTTTGTCTTCCGCCCTCTCTGCCTGCTACGCACCCTCACCCTCGCATCCTCGCTCGCACTACTCTGCCGCAAATGTCATCGCGTTCCAGCCATACGCCCTCTGCAGCCGCTTCCCAATCCACCGCACGTCCGCCGGCGCCAATTTCGGGGGAGCGTCGCTGTCGGCCGACACAGGCGCCCTGAAGAGGCTGGGCCGCGGCGTCGTCGACTTGTTCTTGTCGGCGCCCCGGCGCCCGGCGCCTTTGGCCGTCGCCACAATGGCCGCCATCTTCGCCACCGGACCCGGCACAAACAGCCACGCGGACCCGTACAGCCGCTCGGCCGTGAACCCAGCCGTTTGGAGGGCGTGTACCACATCCGGCCACGTGAGCGTAGCAGGCGTCGCGGTGCTGCCCTTGCCATCGGAGGGCGGGAAGAGGGCGCGGAAGACGCGCGCCGCGCGCCGGTCGACCAGACGGCGGTCCACGCCGGACCCCGACCCCGACCCAGATCCAAACAAGGCCTTGTCGTACTTGTCGTCCTCGCGCGTCAGCATGTCGCGGAGCCGCGGCGTCAGGGCCTTGTTGGCGTCGAGCGTCTGGTAGACGGTGGCCCAGAAAATGGCGAGCTCGCCGGCATCCTTGTCGGTGGTGGTGGCGGCCGCGTCGCGGCCCACAAACGACGGCGCGGCGACGTCCAGCCCGTGCTCGAGCAGCGCCCGCAGGTGGCCCATGGACATGTGGAAGTCCATGACGAGAATGTCGCGCACCTCCGTGTCCTGCTGCACGGTCTGGTCGTACGCGGCCGCCCACGGCTGAAACGCGTCCAGCAGCAGCGTGCAGCGCGCATACAGCGCGACGGTGGCCACCTGGTCCGCCGTCCAGGCCGACAGCAGCCCCGTGGCGCGCGACGCGGCCTCGAGCTCGTCGAGCAGCGTCTGGCGGCCAAACAGCTGCCGCGTCGCGTCGTCCTGGAGACCCGTCAGCGACCAGAGGGCCGCGGCGACGGGCTGGCCGCTGTCGCGGCCGGCGGTGGCGGCATGGCCGTCGCTTTCGTCGCCGACCAGGGGCGGGGCGTCCGCGCCCTCGGCGGCCACCACGTGCGTCTTGCCGTCGTCCGTCTCCGCGTCCCGCTCCAGGCGGTAGTGCTGCCGCACCGCCGGCGCCGAAAAGGCGCCCGTCTGCAGCAGGCCGACGGGCTCGTTCTCGAAGCTGCGGATGTGGTAGTAGAGGGCGTAAAAGGACAACAAGACGTCGCGCGGCAGCCGGCCGGCATCGGGCCCCGCCTGCGCCGCGGCCACCGCCGCGGCGTGCTTCTCCATCTGCTGTGCCAGCAGATGCACCTTGCTGTACACCAGGTTCCACGTTTCGGCCTGCTCCAGCGCGCGGCGCAGACAGGCGTCGACGACCGTGAGCGACACCGTCTCCGTCTCCGACTCGGCGGGCGCCACGCCGTCGGTCGTCGTCAGGCGCTCTTTGCGGTGCAGCGCCCAGTCCCGCAGCGTCGCCCGCAGGTACGCCGGGTCGGTGCGCAGCGCCCACACGTGGTCCTCGGCCTCCCAGACCTTGGCATTCGTCATGTCCAGCAAGGCCTGCAAGTGCTGGGTGTCGAGCGACGTCGGCGGCACGCGGTAGGGCGTCTCGAGGGACCGCAGGGGCTGGTCGACGTACGCGGGCGTGTCGAGGACGGACGTTTCTGTGGACGGTTCGGTGTGTCCGTTCTTTCCATTCGACGCTGTGTCGTTGGCCTTGTCCTTGTCCTCCTCCTTCTTCTTTTCCGAGACCTCGCCGTTGCCGTCCGCCGCGGCGCCCAGGATGGCCCGCACCGCAAGCACCAGAAATCGGTAGAGCCGCGCCTGGACGGTCAAGATCCACAGGCCCTCGCCCGGGTGCGTCCCGCGCGTGGCAAACGAGTCGCTGCCGGGCGCCTCCGTCTGGTCGGCCGTCAGCGCCTCCAGCTCGGCCCACGTGTACAGCTGGCCATACGTCGCCGGCGACGTGCGCCCGGCGAACAGCATCGAGTACTGGTTGAGGTACCGCGGCAGCAGCGCCAGGCAGGCCTTGCCCAGCCGCGTGGTGGCCAGGTCGGCGGCGGCAAACGCCTCGGGCGGCGCGGCGGCGCGCGACGTGGCCAGCAGCCAGAGCGCACGGGTGCTCGACGGCCGCAGCGCCAGGTCCTGCAGCGACAGGTGCGGCCACAGAAAGGCGGCGCGGTCGTCGGCCGTCCAGTCGAGCAGCGTGACCAAGTTTTCGGGCGCCGCAAAGGAGCTGCTGCCGCCACCAGCACTACCACCAGTACTGCTGTCCTTGAGCTGCTGGCCCTTTTCGCGCTCGCGGCGGCGCCAGGCGACGAGATCGGGGCGGTGCGGGAGCGGGAGCGCGGTGGGTGTGCCGTTGCCGTCGTCATCGTCGTCGACGGACGACACGGCCGCCGCCGCCATCGTCCACGCCTCTTGTATCAGGTCCCGCCGCTTGCGCTTCTTCAGACTCTTCCAGCGGTCATGGAGGAGAGACTCGTGGGGCGTCACCAGCGCCTTGAGGGCGCCCCAGTCCTGGAAGATGGCGTCCGCCAAGGGCCGCGCCTGGGCGACCACCTCGCTGGGGCGAATAAACGAGGGCAAGGGAAGTCCGCCGGCTTTCCCAATGTTGAGACGGTCAAAGAGGGCCCGTTCCTCGTCGGTGAAGTCGCTTGGTTCTGTCATTGTGGGGGGGTCAGGGTGAATTCAAGTTGTATCGAGACAGAGATGGAGTGTTGATGTGGTCGTAGTGAATGAGGAAGTAGCCGAAGAAAGTAAAAAATAAGAAATATAAATAACGACACAGGAAAGAAACGCAATGAAAGGCCGTGCACGTGTCAGCAGTACGTGGCCGGAGCAGATGCAAAATGCAGAACGTGGAATACGAAATGCAACGCAGAACGCATCTACAGAAAAGGAACCAAAAAGCATCGTCACCCTTGACACAAAACTCAACGTCTGAACACTTGGTCAGTTATCACGTGGATCACGGCTCGTCTCGTCTTTCCTTTTTTATTTCCTTTTCCTCTTATTCCTCTTTTGTCTTCCTCGTTCTCCTTCCGCGTTGCCTTCTCCGTTTCCTGGGATAATGTCGTAGTAAAACACGGCTCATCTGCAGTCGCCCCCTTCTTCCAGCATTTGCAGGGGTAAACGGCTATTCTTGCATTTTCTCCGCATCACGTCGACAAGTCGACAGGGGACGGAAACACGGCGATCCAAGCTCCGTTGCGATTTGCTCGCAAGGCGATCCAAGCACCATGGCCTTGGTTCTTGGGCCATTGCGCTCAGGCCATATTTATTTTATTTTATTTTTAGTTTTTTTTCTACTTGTTGTCCTCGCTTCGCTCGCAATGGATGGATCACCATAACCACCCCCCCCCCCCCGGCAGGTCAGTATCGCCCGCTTCACTCACACAAATGGCACGGCATACTCCCTCGCGCCCTCGGTGCAAATCAAGACCACCACCGAATCCTGCTGCACCTTGACAACGTCCCTTGCTTCGGAGCAAATCTTGCGCAGACCAGCCAGCGTCGCCGCACCACACGGCCCTGCGGCCACGCCCTTTGCGCCCCCCGCCTCGCTCTCGCTCGTCTTTTGATCGGTGCCGCCCATTGGCTCGTCGCCGTCTGCGTCCGCGCCCGCATCCGCGCCCGCGCTCACGCTCGCGCCCACGACACTGCTGTCGGCGTTGAGCAGCTGCTGGACGGCCACGTGGGCCTGGCGGTCGGAGATGGCGACCGAGTAGTCGACGCCGGCATGGAGGATGGGCCAGGCGTTGCGCGACAGGGTGCCGCAGTTCAGGCCGCACATAATGGTGTCGGCGGTGGCGACGGTGACGCGGCGGCCGACGGCCTGCGAGGCGCGCAGGCAGGCGGCGGTGTCGGCCTCGACGGTGAGGACGGACGTGATGGGGGTGTCTTGGTCGGCGTGGTCGTCTGGGCTTTTGGCCGCGTCGTCCACGTCATTGGCCAGCGCCTCGGCCGACTCGATGCTCTCCTGCATGGCCTGGCCCGTGCCCACGGCGCCGCCGCGCCCGTGCGGCGCCTTGTAGTGCGCCGTCACCGCCTGGGCAATGGACCCCACGCCGACGGGCACGACGACGTGCGTCGCCGGCCGGCCGCCCGTGGCCTGCTGGACCTGCGCGTCCGCCTCGGCCAGCAGCGTGCTGTAGCCCTCGACGACCCACTGCGGCACGTCCTCGTAGTCCTCGAGGCCGACGTCCATCAGCAGCAGCATCGACGAGTCGCGGTCGGCCTCGGCGCGCACGAGCGTGACGCAGTCGTCGTAGGTGGCGCCCGGCACCACGCGCACGTCGGCGCCCTCGTGCGCCAGCAGCGCCTGCGTCGCCTGCGGCATGAACGCCGGCACGTACAGCCGGCACGACACGCCGCCGGTGTAGCGGGCCATGCGGGCCACGGCGCGCCCCCAGTTGCCCTCGGTGCACGACAGGATCTGCAGCGGCCGCAGCCCGTTCTCGCGGTTGTGGCGGTCGTTGTGAGCGCGCACGGCGGCGGCGAGCGCGTCGAGGGACACGGCGTCGGGGCCGGTGCTGGGCAGGCCGACCGCGCGGGCCAGCGCCTTGTAGACGGCCCACGACGCGCCCAGGATCTTGAACGACGGCAGGCCAAACCGGTTGGACTCGTCTTTCAGCAGAAGGTGCCCGACCCCCAGCTCCGCGGCCAGCGTCGGCAGGCTGTGCATGGGCGTGACGGCATAGTGCGGCAGCTGGCGGTGCAGGGCGGCGACGGCAGCGGTTTCGATGGGGGGGGTGTCGGGCATAGACACCACCTTGTCCTTGAAGTGGGCGGTGGTGGTGGGGTCGTTCATGGTCGCTGGTGTATGACGGCTGGGCCGGCGAGAGTCGTTGCAGCGGGGTCCAAACGTTGCGAGCCGGCCGCCCGGTCGTTTGTAGATAGAGGACAGGGGAGAGTCGAGACGAGCGGGTCTAGTCGAGCAAACAAGTCGTCGAGGGTCGTAGATTGTGTAGATTGCCGGCAGATTGTCGCCGTCGTCGTCTTGGTTCGTGCTTCGACGCTGGCCGCGGTGTAGGTTGTTTGGTCGCAGTCTGTCAGTCGATGTGTCAATACCAAGATTGAAAGTAGAAGCGGTATGGAATGACGTCGAATAATACAAACCAGGTCAGTGCATCAACACGAAGGGATCATGAAGCGAAAAGGCAGCGAAGCAGAGAAAAGAGAAAATGGCCTCGTCTGTCGTCCCAGTTTGGGGACGCCAATACAACACTATATAACTGAGAAGAGAGATGACGGCATTGGGCACATTGACGAGAACAACACTGGCGACGGCCTCGTGCATTGGATCGAGAACCAAAACCGAGATCGGGGGAACAACAAAAGCAGCGGGGAGACTTGCCAGAACAATTGCCAGAACGACAAGTCGCGGCGCTAAAGTGACGTCAAGCATCTCGGGAAAGGCCGCGCCCCGAATTGGGCAGGTGTGAGCCAGACACCCACTGTAAGTCGATTTGGCTGCCAGAAAACGCACCAGTGATGAAATGATAGGCATGCGGCTCCGTTCGAATACAAGTTTTGGCACCAAGGGAAATACGTCCAACGGGAACAAGGTCAAAATAGGGTCTCAGTTGGGCTGGGTGAAATGGGCAAAATACGGAAAATACAGAAAACATACAACAAATACAACGTGATAAGAAAAAATACAAAAACACGAGTTAGCTGAAAGGACTGAATGCTCCGAACGTCTCTCCTTTTCTCCATCCAATGGCCTAGACATGTCCATGGAAGAAGGCATTGTGCTCTTGTGCTCTTGTGTCATGGCGCCATGGTGGCGTCCTCGATGCTTGTTATTAATTCAACAATCAAATGCACATCAACAACATCGTTTTCCTTCTGCGTCTGACCTTCTTGTCCAAGTCTTCGCCCAGATGTAGGATCGCACCAATGGCTAGGCTGACTCGCTTACGGGGGAGCCTGGAGCTTAATCGCTTTGGGAAGTCGAGACGCGGCCACTGCATATGATTTGGGGGCAACATCGATTCCAGGCCTGCCACCAAATCGCGCCAAAGTTGCAACCGCAATATCCTCCGTCAAGATGGACGCAAAGGACGCAACAGACGCAAAGGGCGCAAAGGACGCAAAGGACGCAAAGGACAGCAAAGGGACTACTGCGGATCCGACGACGGGCCAGACAGATTACAAGGATGCCAAGGATGCCAAGAACACCACCTCCGCGGCCACCGCCGCGCGCATCGTAGCGGCAGCCGCTGAGCGCAACCGCCTTGTCCAACAAGTCGCCGCCACACAACACGCCAAAGCAACCCTCGGCCAGCTCGCGCCCCAGATTGCCGACCTCACGAACAAGGGCTACGATGCCTCGCAGCTCGTGGCGACGCTGATGGTCCAGCTGCGCGACCAGCGGGCCACGCTCGACAAGCACCAAAAGAGAGCGGGCAGCTCCGTGTCGAAGCTGTTCCATCGGAGCGATCCGAAGGCGCTCGCGGCCGAGGAAGATGCGTACTACGAGGCGGAGGCCTGGGCCGCCAAGGCCAAGGTCAAGCTGAGCCGCATCGACGCCGACTTGGACGCCCTGAAACAGCAGCGAGCCGACCTGCGCGCGCGGCACGACGAGCACACGGCCGCGCTCAATGCGCTGGACGAGCTGTACGCCGGCGTGTTCGACGGGCCGTCGCCGGACGTCGGGGAGGGCGACGAGGACGCGCTCGAGGGCGCCGTGCAGGCCGCGCAGGCCGTCTACGATGCCATCCAGGCCCGTATGACCTTTGCCCTGGCCGTCGCCGGCCACCTGAACGCGGCCCGCGGCAACGTCGTCGCCGCCTTGAACCACATCGCGGACGCCCTGAAGTACTCGCGGCAGGACATTACCGACTACCGCTACGTGCACTACGGCTCCGCCGCGTCGGCGGCCGCCGTCGTGAACGGCCCCTATTACGCGTCCCTCCAGGCCGACCGTCTCGAGCGCGACCGTCTCAAGCACGTGCCCGAATTTCTCGCCGAGGCGGAGCACCATCTCGCCCTCGCCAAGCAGATGGACCCGGCCCATCTGTCCCAGTTTCTGCTGCTGCCCCAGGTCAAGGTCGCCGGCCAGGGCCACAGCGTCGCCAACCTCCTCGACCAGGCCGTCAACTCGCCCCTGACCGACTACCTGTTCCACATGGAAATCAAGGACACCCAAGAGGATGTGCGTGCCTGCCTGGACGTCCTGGACCCAGAGGTCGAGCAGGCCGAGGCGCGCGTCGAGGCCATCCGCCAGGAGCGCGAGCCCGCCGAAGCCGCACTCCTCGACGGCCGGCGCCAGCTGCTCGACCTGCGGGTGGAGCTGTTTGAAAAGGTGCTGCGCGCGCGCGACGGCGAGAAAGAGGTGGAACCGCCAGCGTATGTGGGTAAAACATGATGATACGAGAGTTTTTTATCTGTTTTTTACATCTGTTTTTGGTATACTGTTATTTTTATTTTTTATTTTTAATTTCTATTTCTATTTTTTTTTAACAAAAAAAACTTATATATATAACAATAAATGTTGTTAATTTATGTTTTACGCAACGTCGTTTTTACGCCAAAGTCCACAAAAAACATGTAGAAATAGACATCCATTTGAACTAAACAGTAAAATTTACTTGCACATGCATTTTCTTCATGACTGCACCACTAAAGTCGCTTTAAGCATGTGTCAACGGAGATAAACGTCCGATGAGGGCCAGTCCAAGCTCAGTCGAGAACATAGCGCCTCACATCATGAGCGAACCAAATGGAGGACAAACGTACTTTCGCAATCAGGACCACATCATTCCTTACGTTCCGAATCAAAGGCGTCTTGTATAAAGAATACCGTCCAAAGTAAATGTGGCCCAAACAAGGTCACGTGCTCAGCCTTACTGATTACTCATCCGTCTGCCCCGCCAAAGTTCAGCCGCCTTGAAATTGACAGCCTTCTGCCTACGATCACGACGATCACTCATACACACCTTCACACGTTCACTCATTCACTCACACGCATCTGCACGGCGCGCTACCTTGTATACGTGCTGCGCTGCATCCCACTATGGCCGACTCCACCCCCAACGTCGCCGCGCTCCGGCCCATCGAACTCCAAAATGCCTGGCAGGTCGACCAGGCCATCGTCACCGAAACCGAGCGCGTCGTCATCATCCGCTTCGGCAAGCACACCGACCCAGACTGCATGGTCCAGGACAAGATCCTGTGCAGTATTACGCCCATCGTCATGAAGTTTGCCACCATCTACTGCTGCGACAACCAGCAGGTGCCCGACTTTAACAAAAGTATGTTTTTTTTTTTTTGTTCCTCGCTTCGCTCGCCTTCATGGTATTTCCTGTACTCGCTCTGCCTTTCCTGGCTTTGTCGTCACTCCTGAGGCCGCTCGCTAACCGTCTAGTGTACGAGCTCTACGACGCCTGCACCATGATGTTCTTCTGGCGCAACAAACACATGATGATTGATCTCGGCACCGGCAACAACAACAAAATCAACTTTGTCATTGAAGACAAGCAGGAACTCATCGACATCATCGAGGTCGTCTACCGCGGCGGCAAGAAGGGACGTGGTCTGGTCAATGCACCCAAAGACTACTCGACACGCCATCAGTACTAGGCCAGCGGCCGACACGCTGTCTTCTTGTCTCCCCAGTCTCTGGGACGACATGACTTTGATTTACGAGCGCGCGTTGCTTTTGCTTTTTACGTGACAAAGGACGGTCGGACGACTAGACATTCATGTCACACATGTTACAAAAGTATGACACTTCTCTTGAAATACACTTGGCCATCTGCTCTTTGACTCTGTTTGCTGAACATCTCCCAATGACTAGGCCGCTCGACTTGAGGATTGCCCGCAAGCGTTGAGCTGGGACCAGGTATGTAAAGACGTCTTGTAGAGCGTCCTATATGCGCGACGTGTCCTGTGATTGATAGCATTGTCGCTTCGTAGTCGTACTGTAGTCGTTCGTGTTGTCATTCACATGCCTGACGCGTGACCTGCCACGATTCCTCAATCTGCTTTTGACTATTGAATTTGGTCGCACCAACGCCGCCACAACGGTCTGCCGTTGTTATAATAAAAAAGCAAAAACGTGTACAAGATACCCATGATAGAAACATATGGCCGCAGGTAAAAAGTACCAAATACAAAAGAGCGAGACGGCGAAGCACAAGGAGAGGACAATCCGCCGTGCTTTTCTTTAGCCGTCTCTTTTTCAAACTGCAACCGCTCGAAGCACAATCGCGCAAGCGAGGACATCGTCGTTGGTTGCCCGTTGATGTTGCTGGCCTCGCAGAGGCTCGCCCGTCCGATCGCCGGTTTGTCGTTGTTTGCTGCCTCCTCCATCCGCGATCCTCGCTCACCGCTCCTGGTGCTGGCGTCTGTCGTCGCCGCCGATGCGCTCCAGCGCCTCCAGCATCACAATCGAGTTGCCACGGATGACCTAGGTAGTTAGCAAGAGGCCCTGCATTGCGCCAGGGGAGAGTGTGTCGGGCGAGTGTATCGTTGTACTCACCACCATGCCAATTTTGACCTTCTCACCACCGTCCTTTTCCTCCACGGCCTCGTCGAGGACAATGTTGAGAAAGACCTGTTTGGTTAGCGGGCGTTCTTGTCTTTTTCCCACTTCTGAAGCACGCAGGGACTCACATCGTAGCCGCGCAGCACGCCAATGACCTTGCGGCTGCCGTTGAGCTGGACAAACAACCGCTTGTCGAGGTACTGGTTCTGTTAGCAGCGAACACGACAACAGGCAACAAGCGGACGAGACACATCTGGATGCAGGGCAAAGGCCTACCTTCTTCAGTTCTGGCTGTGCGGGTGCCATCGTGGCGACTGTGTGGGTTGTTGTGGAACGGGGAGGTGGTCGTGTGAAAAGGAAGCAAGGTCGTGTCGTCAAAATGCGAAGCTCCAGAGCGCGACAGCAGTTTGTCGATAGCCTGCTGGCGCCAGGCTCTTCGGCTCGATTTTTTGGTGGGCAGCGGCACGCCACCACTGTGACGAATAGTCACGTGGCGATAAGATAACACCGCTGTCGCAAAGATGCCTGCGCAAAGAGGCAAAACACGACCTCTTTTCTCTTCCTCTTGTTGCTTTCCATCGACAACCACTTGGCACGATGAGTTTGTTCACGAAGCGCAAGGGACGGCGGATATCGACATTTGACGATGCGGACGAGCCGCAGGGGGGTGGTGCGCCAGCCGGCGATGGTGAGTGCAAGCTTCCACCTTCACTTTCTACAATGACGTCCTGCACGATCTTTGCGATTGCTGATGCGCGTTCAAGGCTGACCGACTCTCTTCTATTTGTGCCCATAGACCAATCCACCGAACCCGTCGTCCAGCCGATTCGTTTCGGCAAGCGACCTCTGAAACAGTCTGCCCTGCGCCGCAGCATCAACATTGCCGACTCCGAAGGCGGCCTTGGTGAACTCGGCGGCAGCGGCGACGACGAGACCAGCGGACCGACGACTGCTGACGAAGACGCGGCAAAGCCACCGACAAGTGGAACCGACGTTGGAAATACGAACGACGACGACGACGGCCCGGTGGTGGTCCGGCCTGCTCTTAGTCGGACTGGCTCACGTAAAAACCGGAAACGACTCTCGACAGCGTCCACCTCGTCTCGACTGTCCTTTGGCGGCATGGGAATGGGCGGTGGCGGCGACGACGACGATGGCGACGACAGCGGACCGGCCGTTGTCACGCCGAACAAGCGAGGCGCCGCCGGCACCGGCACGCCGTCACTGACCCAGCGGGTGCTCGAGACCAATGCCTTTCGCAAGTCGCTCTCGGGCCGCTTGCCGACACGGCACCGCGCCAACGACAGCGACGACGATGAGAAGTCGAACCGGCCTGATGCAGGCGACGACGACGACGGCCGCCCGCGCTACAGCCAGGCCTACCTCGATGAGCTGCAGAGCTCCACGCCCAACACCCCACAAAACCTGGCAGCGCAGCGGAATCGCCTTGGCGAGGGTGGGGACAACGACGAGGGCGACGTCATGGACCTTGATCCGTCTGAACTCGACGGCGCCATGGTCGTCGACGCGTCTGAGCTGGGACGACACGGCCTGTCTCCGGCGTCGTCGTCGGCCGTTGCCAGCATGGCGGCCCCGCCGCCCGTCGCGACCATGCTGACGGCCACGGAAATCCAGGAGCGCAAAGACCGCCGCGCGCGCCGCGCACTCGAGGGCGACGCCATGGCCGACGACGACGACGACGACGACGCGGAGGCCAGCGGCGACTACATTTCCTTGCTGACTGACGAGCAGAAGCGCAAGAAGCGAGAAAAGGAGAGGACGCGGCTTGTGCGCGAGGACGAGGATCTGGGCGAAGGCTTTGACGAGTTTGTCGAGGAGAAGGAAGCCCTCTCCATTGGCCGCAAGGCCCAGCGGGCGGCACGGCGCAAGCGCAAAGAAGACATGGCGGCGCTGATTAACGCGGCCGAGGCAGGTGGTGACGGCGACGGCGACGGCCAGGTAGCCAACGATGCGGCCGACGACTCGGACGTCGAGCGGCGGCTCGCCTACGACGCTGCGCAGACACGCGCCGGCATGGACGGCCTGCCGAAAACCAGGATGCGAACCGAGGACGACGGCCTCGAGCACGGCGTCCAGGGCACCGTGCCCATCCCGCGGATGCGGCCCCTGCCCGACCTGGCGACGTGCCTGGAGCAGATGCAGAGTGCCGTGGCGGCCCTCGAGGTGGACGCGGCCGAGAACCGGCGACGCCTGGCCGAGGTGGAGCAGGAAAAGGCCGAGATTGCAGCGCGCGAGGCAGAGGTTCAGGCGATCCTCGACGCGGCAGCGGCCAAGTACCAGACGGTGCTGGGCGGGAGCGCCGCGCCAGGGACGGCTGGTGTGGTGTCTTCGACTCCAGGCGCAGCAGGCACGGCTCTGGACATGACACAGTCGCCGCTGCGGGCCCTGCCACCCGGCCTTGCCGGTGATTTTCCCGTACAGCGCGGCCTGGAGAGCTTAGGAACGACACCCACACGGCGGCCGAATCCTGACGACGTGTTTTGAGAACGAGAAGGTTACGGACATTGTAATACTAGACAGCGAATACCATGTGCTTTTATTGTTTTCCTTCAGTCACAGAAGTGTAATTATATTTCATTTGTATACGAAATGACATGATGCCAACGCCTGAAATCAGTGCAAAAGACAAAAAAAAAATAACGATAGAAACCAATGAAAATGACGGTTGCCGAAATATGATGGGAGGTAATTGACATGGTGACAAATGAAAAACTCCCAGCAAAAGCAAGACTCTACAGCCTCTCGATGCAAACGAATCCCAACAAGGCTCGGGTACTATTACAGGGCTACAACTGACACACACCGGTTAACAGGCTCTACTTCGCCCGGCTGACGCCTGCGCCAATGACGCCCGGCAGCTTCTCCTCGCCCACGCTGAACAGCAGGCCAATCGCAAAGCTGACGGCGCCCACAATCGTCACCGTGAAACCGGTCAGCAGCCAGAACGGCACGCTGACGTCCTGCTTCTGGCACATGTTCCCGGCCCACTGCGTCGTGCTGAGGCCGCCGGGGCTGTCCGCAGGGCGGTTCAGCGTCTTGAAGCAGTGGCACACAAAGCAGCTGCCGACAGGGCTCTTGCTCGACGAGATCCCGCCGTCGTTGGCCGCGTATTTGTCGATGCACTTGCCGTGCTCGCTGCAGCTGTTGGTCTGCGCGACACAGGCGTTGAAAGACTGGAAGCAGCCGGGGATGGCCGCAAGGGGCGCCGCGGCGGCGACGAACTTGACGCCCTTGCCCTCCTCCTCCTTCACCTCCGTCTCCTCTTCCATGACAAACTCGGAGCCGGCGCTGCGGATGCGCAGCTCCGAGGCAGCCGGGCGGGCCTTGGGCGGCAGGAGGCGGGCGTTTGCGGGCTGCAGGCCCTTGCTGGAGGCCCACTGCTTCCACTGGGCGTAGCGGCTGGACTCGGGCAGCAGCAGGAGGGCGACGTCGGCGGCGCCGGACTCGACAAGCGTAACAATATCGGGGAGCGCGGCCACAAGGGCATCGACAATCGTTGCGTCCTACATGGTTAGAGAGGAACAAATTCGAAAAGTACTGGGGACGAGGAGAAAAGTCTCACCTTTTTCGCATCGTAGAGACCGACAAAGAGGCCGTGCCCCCAGACCGACGTTCCCGTGTGAGCCACAACGCCCACACTGGCCAGCTCGTCCACGAAGAAACGGGTGTTCGCCGCCTCGGACGGCGGGTCGGCGACCGTGAACGCCGGCTTGGCAAACGCGGTCGGCAGCGCGGCCTCGAGGGCGGCGACATGCTCGGGCTGGGCGCCCTGCACCACCAAAAGCATCTCGCCCGATACTGCTGCTGCTGCTGCGGATGACGCGTCCTCGGCAAACAGTGCAGGCCCTGCACGCGTCGCCTTGCTGCCAAACTGCTCAATCAGGCCGAGCGCGGCCTCGGGGTCAATGTCGCGCGGGAGGCTGTCGTAAAAGCTGCTGCCGTCGCTGGCCCCTAACCGCCGCAGCAGGATCTGGCGAACAATCTGGCGGGGCAGGTTGGGCGAGGTAGAGGAAGAGGAGGGCGAGGATGACGAAGATGGTGATGATCGAAGGAGGTAGACGGGCGCCGATGCAGCAGTGGCAGCGGCCGAGCTGGCCACGCAGGCCGCGACAGCCAAGCCGGCAAGCAACTTCATCGTGGCGGCGTCGACAGGAAGGGTGTGTGCGGTCGTGTGATGATGGTTGATTGCGCGGGATGATGGGCGACGGCAATGGGCAGTGAACGGAAAGGTGGACAGTCGTCAAGCAGGCCGTTATCGCGAAATGAAGCTGGAAGCTACGCCAGACAAAAGACGCAAGAGCGACCCAGCAAGGACGACAGGCTGCAGCTTAAAGGTGGATCATTATTCATCCGTCCGTTGCGATTGGAGCGGGAAGGTGCCCAGACGATACGAGGCCGTGCGAGGAGTCCTGTAGGTACGGTCTTATCCACTGTATTCGGCTCTGTGAACTGCCCTGGCCCGTCGGCGATAGTGGCTCAGTGGAATCTGGACCTTCCAACAGGGGTGGAGGCCTAGCCTGGCGAGCCCTGGGCTGGAGACTTTTGTTGTCGCTCTTGCCCTGAAAAGGCCATTTTTAGCTCATTCGGCGACAACGGGAAGGAGCAAAGGACGTCGTCTCGCGGCTCTCAGGCAGATTTCGTGACACTTCGTGACACTCTTTTTTTTCATCTTCCTTTCGTTTCTGCTCGACTACCCACGTCCTGACAACATACTTTATCGATACCCACCCTCATTTATCTGACTGCCGGCGGTGCCTGACAACTGCCGACAACCGTTTTCGTTCCAACTGTCTCTTGTCTCAGAAGGCATCGCATCATCACCGGAATCGCCTGGTGACGACACCCTCACAGCGTCGGGCCGCTGGCCACATCTCGGGATCGCCCTCTCCTCTACGTACATCGCACCGGACCACGGTACTCTCGCATATCTCACACCATGCTACGCTCATTATGGGCGTCCAGGGCGCCGCTCGCGTCCTGGCTGCCCCGACGACCACTGACTGCCGGCCTCTCGCGCGCTGCCGCCTCGCCAGCAGCAACGCCCTCCACATTTTACGTCCGGATCAAGTCCGGCCGTAGGTGGCGGAATGCGGCCATTGGCGCGGGCGTCATATACATGTGCTGGTCGGCCTACTTTACGCGTGTGGTCCTGCCGCCGTTTGCCGACATGATCGACGACGAGGACGCGCAGCCCATATTCTTTCCGCTGCCCTTTACGTTCCAGGTCGTGGAGTCGCGGCCGTACAAGGGCACGGACCCCGAGTGGCAGACATACATCCGCATCGCACGCGACCGCGAGCTGCTCTTGAAGATCCGCAACGACATGCTCGAGACGGTCCGCGCCGCGGCCGAAGCGAACCCGGTTCTGCGGCATCGCTGCGGCCATGGGATGACGGTGCGCAAGCACTGGCTCGACGTCGACTTTCCCTACCGCCCGCCACCCAAGATCACGCGCGACGGGCTGATGCTGACGGCCGACGGCCTGGACTACGTCACGGCCGAGGTGGACTCGGTCACCATGATGCGCATCTCGCGGGCGCTGTGGCCGGAGCCCGTGGCGCTGTCGGCGACGTCGTTTGTGACAACACTGGCCCGCCAGAACATGCAGAACGTGGCGCGCTTCTTTGGCTTTGGCGAGGAGCCAAAGACCAGCCCCAGCTCCAAATTTGCGATTCCCCCCCCCGAGGAGATGGCGCGGCTCACCGAGAAGCTGAAGCGGATATCCGACGACATCAACAGGGATGTGTCGCGGGCCAAGCGCGACGGGTTCGGGGAGGGCGACAAGGACCGCAAGGGCGATAAGGAGGACAAGGACCTCAAAGGAAATGGCCAGGCGGCGCCCGGCACGACACCTGGGCCCCTCACCAGCACGGGCTTTGACTCGCACTCGCCGCCTCTACGCCGGCCGCAGCCTGCCGGTCGGCCAGAGAAGCGGCCCGCCAACTGGGACGAGCTGTCCGACCTCCTCCGCGCCCGGGACATGATCCCCTTCCAGTCTGTGCGCGCCAGCATCGATGCCTCGTGGCGTGCGTTCCGCCAGAAACTGTCCGAGACGTGGCTGCCGCTGCGGCCACAGCCACCGGGCGGCAGCGTCGGCGTGTCCGGGCTCGTGGAGCTGCAGTCGCCGACGTCGCGCATTATGATTGCGGTGTCGGCGTACTGGGATCCCAAGACGCGCAAGTACGACACGCAGACGATGCACTTGAAACTGCGCAGCATCCGCCCGCTGCACCAGATGCCGCTGTAGTAGGCGGTGTCGAGCGTCCTACGACCGAGCATACCGTTCGGTGCCACGGCGAAGGATGTCATGAGTCGTTTTCTTTCATTTGTCTTTTTTGCCCCTTTTCTCGTCCACATTGCAGCCCTCATACTTTCCTATCCTCTCACTTCTTTTCGTGTGTACACTTATTCTCTGTGTGGAAGGCATCAGCGTTGGTTCGGCTTTACGTCTTTTTCTTTTGTTTTCATGGACATAGATTTCCCCTTCAGAAATACCACTATTTGTCAAAACTTGTCTAAACACTACCTGCTCGGCTTTGCCTCAGCACTTGTCGTATCGGCATTAATCATAACCATTGGATTGTGTAGAGTTGTGCACGGCTGCCTGGCCGCCCTCTTCTCTGAGACCCGTACTCTTCAGCCACCGACATTCAAGTAATTCCACAGCATCGCAACCCAGCTTGTCACAAGTTAACACAAAATCGTCGCATACCTTATCAAAGGTCTATCCATGCGTAGCCAAAAGGCGCGCCCACCAAATCGCGCCTTTGCACAGTCGCTAGTTTAGCCTAATGTGGGAAGCGGAGAGCGATGCTCCGCGCCTGCCTTCCGAAGTTTACACGACAGGAACACCAGCCAAAGCAAATACGGGGCCGCAACGACGAAGAACCAGGACGAGACCAAGCTCCTGCCCAGAACCCCACCATCCCCACACAGGGAAGAGCAACCGCCATCGCGCCCCATGCACCTTCCCACCGCTACCGGAACAACGACTGCCAATGCCGCCTCACGCCCGCCTTGTTGATCGCGCTTGCTGTTGTTGCGACTGGCGCGGCCGCGCCTTCCGTCGTTTGAGCTCTAACACAGTCGCTCGGTGGCGCCTCCCCCGAGGCGACGGTTTTGGTTAAGAATCAGCTGATTTGTATGGCCGCTTTTTGGGATCGTACATTGTACTGCTTTCGAGCTGCTTCGGAGGGGAAAGCTCTCACATCTACAAATATATGAAGTACACCACGTCCTTGCCGGCGGTGGCTGACCTGGCCTCGCAAACACCCATTGCGCACCATACACGACCTACCACCACGATGGCTTCCTCTCCCTCCCATCCCCGCGTTGTTGTCCCCGTCGACCAGGGCTGGTCGTTCAAGCAGGCGGACCAGGACGACACACATTGGCTGCCCGTGGGCCAGTTCCCGACCAATGTGCACCTCGACCTGCTAGCGCATGAGCGTATCCCGGACCCGTTTGTGGGCAAGAACGAGGAACTCGTGCAGTGGATTGGCGAGACGACATGGGTGTACAAGACGACGTTCGCCCTGGACAAGGCTGCGTCGTCGTCCGGAGGGAACAAGACAGTTCTCGCCTTTGACGGCCTCGACACATTTGCCACCGTGGTGCTGAACGGCAAGACCATCCTCGAGAGCGACAACATGTTTTTACCGTACCGCGTGGACGTGACCGACAGCGTGCGTGCCGATGGCCCCAACGACCTCGTAATCACCTTTGACAGCGCCTACCTCCGTGGGTGGGACCTGGTGGAGCAGCATCCGGACCACAAATGGGGCTGCTGGAACGGCGACAACTCGCGGCTGGCGGTCCGCAAGTCGCAGTACCACTGGGGCTGGGACTGGGGCCCGGTGCTGCTGACGTGCGGGCCGTGGCGGCCGATCCATGTGGAGGTGTACGACGCACGCCTGTCGGACCTGTCCTTTGACACGACGGTGGACGAGTCGCTGCGGTCGGCGACGGTCGCGGCCCGAGCGGAGGTCGAAGCCGGGTCGGTTGCCGGTACACGGGTGCGCTTCGACGTGTCGCTGGACGGCGTGGCTGTGGCGTCTGAGACGGTCGACGTGGCCGCCAAGGAGAAGAGCAGCGACGACGACAACGACAACACCGACGACACCCCCGACGGCATCGCTACGGCCACGTTCCTGATTAACAGCCCGGCATTGTGGTACCCAGCCCGCTACGGCAAGCAGCCGCTCTACACCGTTCGGGCCACGCTACTTGTCGGGGTCACCGAAGCAGACAAAGCTACCAAGAAGATTGGCCTGCGGCGCTCTCGCCTCGTGCAGCAGCCACTGGAGGGTCAGCCGGGCACCAGCTTCTTCTTCGAAGTCAACAACGTGCCCATCTTCTGCGGCGGCAGCGACTGGATCCCGGCGGACAACTTCGTGCCGCGCATCTCGGGGCAGCGCTACCACGACTGGGTCAAGCTGGCCGTGGACGGCCACCAGGCCATGATCCGCGTGTGGGGCGGCGGCATCTACGAGGAACAGGCCTTTTACGACGCTTGCGACGAGCTCGGCGTGCTCGTGTGGCAGGACTTTATGTTTGGCTGCGGCAACTACCCGGCGTGGCCGGCGCTGCGCGACTCGATCCGGCGCGAGGCGGCGGCCAACGTGCGCCTGCTGCGGCACCACCCCAGCATTGTCATTTGGGCGGGCAACAACGAGGACTACCAGTACCAGGAGAGCGAGGGCCTGACGTACGACTACGCCAACAAGGACGCCGAGAGCTGGCTCCAGACGGACTTCCCCGCGCGCTACATTTACGAAAAGATTCTGGCCGACGTGTGCCGCGCCCTGATCCCGGGCACGCCGTACCACTACGGCAGCCCGTGGGGCGGTGGCGTGGACACGCACGACCCGACGGTGGGCGACATCCACCAGTGGAACGTGTGGCACGGCACGCAGGAAAAGTACCAAAACTTTGACCGGCTCGTCGGCCGGTTCGTGTCCGAGTTTGGCATGGAGGCGTTTCCCAGCGTGCGCACCATTGACCAGTTCCTGCCCAACGGCCGCGACGACGCGGACCGCTACCCGCAGAGCGCGACCCTCGACTTCCACAACAAGGCCGACGGACACGAGCGGCGCATCGCGCTGTACCTTGTCGAAAACCTGCGGTACGCGCCGGACCCGCTCGAGCAGTTTGTGTACTGCACGCAGCTGATGCAGGCCGAGTGCCTGGCGTCGGCGTACCGGCTGTGGAAGCGGCAGTGGCAGGGGCCGGGGCGTGCGTACTGCGGCGGCGCGCTCGTGTGGCAGCTCAACGACTGCTGGCCCGTGACCAGCTGGAGCATCTGCGACTACTACCTGCGGCCCAAGCACGCCTACTTCACGGTGAAGCGGGAGATGGCGCCTGTCACCGTGGGCATGACGCGCAGGGAGCATGCGCACAGCAGGGCGGGCGGACACAGCCACTCGCGGATCGACATTGCGCGGCGCACACAAATCGAAATCTGGGGCTCCAACTTGACCCTCCACGACATTGACGGTGTCGACTGCGTGGTGCGCGCGTGGGATGTGGAGACGGGCAAGCTGACGTACGAGGGCACGGTGGCCGAGGGGATCGTGCTGAAGGCGAACCGGTCGACGGAGCTGGCGGCGCTGGACGTGCCGGGCGTCAAGGGCGACGAGGCGAAGACGGTCGTGGCGGCGTACTTGGAAGCATCGTCCAAGCAGATTGCTCGGTATGTCAACTGGCCGGAGCCGCTCAAGTACCTGCACCTGGCCAAGCCCGACTTGACGGTGGACGTGGTCACGTCGTCGGGCGACGCGGTTGTCGCCGTCGCCGTCCGCTCGGACGTGCCCGTCAAGGGCGTCGCTGTCGAGGTGCACGAGGACACGCCCAACGCCGAGGCGGACGCGGTGCGGTTCGACGACAACCTGGTGGACCTTGTGCCGGGCGAGACCGTGCAGCTGGGCGTGACGGGCGCGACGGCGTCTACACGGTTTACCACGAGATACTTGGGATTGAGCTCGTGAGGGGGAATATGTGGGTGGCCAAGGTTACGCAAACAACTTCATGGACGGTAGACGCTATGCAATACACTAGACTACGACAAACGGTACCAACAAGCTGCACACAACTGCATGCAACAAGCACCGGATTCTCATATATTCAATGGCCTGCAGTATACCGCAACAGCTGTCTGCAACACACCGTTACATATGCACACATGCACGTCGCTGTTTTTTTCCGAGTCCCGTGGACGACCGAGATTTGGATCGGTGCAGTAGTGCCGTCGTGAGTCGTGTTGTTTCGGTGAGTGACTGTGGCATGGGTGCGTGTAAGTGAAAAGGGTGAACAAAAAGGAGAAGAAAAGACCAAAAAGTGAAGAGAAAGAGGCCCAAGAACGGGGCCACGTTCATGATTGGTGCGGCTAAAACGGTTATTTACAGAAATGGGGAAGAGGGTCGACCGACGAAAGGCTGAGGGGAACGGACGACGAAGGCAAGCAGGTACAGAAAAAGGCAAGAAAAGCGACTGCAAAAAGCCAAAACGCTCGGCGAATTATTGATATGAGTGGTGGAACGGAGGGCGATGGAATGTGGGTTTCGGAGTAGTTGAAAACGGCAGTGGTCTAGGGGAGGGGGCAGGCAAAAGGAGCGACCTGTTGGAGCGACCGGATGGGATGTGGCAGGAGATGTGCCGAGCGTCAGACGCAAGAGTAAGCCAGACAGCATACGGCAAGGAATGACGAAGCGTGTGGTCAAACCACAGAAAACGAAGCTGTGTCAATGTGACCTTGATGCGCGATGCAAAAGAGCGGCAAAGAACAGAACAGCGGGGATGGGCGCCAGGAGGGGGGTGGGTTTACTTGTCTCCTGTGTTCCAGAAACGGTCGCCCCCGCGCTAACAGCATCCGACATGCGGCGGGCGTGTGCGCGCGTGCTTCTGGGTAATTGGGGTTTAGTGGGCTCAGTGGATGCAGTGGATGCAGTGGATCAGTGGGTTGTGATCGTTACAAGCTGTCATAGCTGCTGTTAGCTCGATTCGTGAGAGACAGAGCGAGATGAGCGAGAGAAAAAAGTCGAGGTCTGGGCTTTCGACTTTCTTGTCTTTCTTCCTCGATTTTATCATTTCCTGTCGTGACTGCTTCTCCTTTCTACTATCTCCTCCTACTCTTCCTTCTCAACGCCTTCTCACAGCTCTCCTCACTTCGACTCCTCACCAAAGTATCACCATCGACTCCCTCCTCGTCCGCAATACGTCCCATCACAATGGCTTCCGCAACAGACGGCAAATCGGTACGTCCTTTCGTCCTTTTTCGTTGGACATTTCATTCTCGTTCTCAATGCATTTCTATATGGCATGGCTCACGCCCTAACATTTGCAGAACTCCTCGTTCGTCCTCAACAAGCCGCATGACGTCACCTACCAGGACCGGCCGGTGCCGTCGGTGGCCGACCCGCACGAAGTGCTCGTGGCCGTCAACTACACGGGCATCTGCGGCTCGGACGTGCATTACTGGGAGCACGGTGCCATTGGCGACTTTGTGGTCAAGGACCCGATGGTGCTGGGCCACGAGTCGGCCGGCACGGTGGTGGCCACAGGCGACCAGGTCAGCGACCTCCAGGTTGGCGACCGCGTCGCCCTGGAGCCGGGCTACCCGTGCCGGCGGTGCGTGCGCTGCCTCGAGGGCCACTACAACCTGTGCCCGGACATGAAGTTTGCCGCGACGCCGCCGTACGACGGCACCCTCACCGGCTTCTGGAAGGCGCCCGCGGACTTTTGCTACAAGCTGCCCGAGCACGTGTCGCTGCAGGAGGGCGCCCTGATTGAGCCGCTGGCCGTCGCCGTGCACATTGTCGGGCGCCAGGCGCGCGTGCAGCCCGGCCAGTCGGTCGTCGTCATGGGCGCGGGCCCCGTGGGCCTGCTGTGCTGCGCCGTGGCCAAGGCGTTTGGCGCGACGACGGTCGTGAGCGTGGACATTGTCGAGTCGAAGCTGCAGTTTGCCAAGCAGTTTGCGGCGACGCACACGTACATGAGCCAGCGCGTGTCGCCGCAGGAGAACGCGGCCAACATTCTCAAGACGGCCGGGCTGGAGGCCAACCGCGGCGCCGACGTGGTGATTGACGCCTCGGGCGCCGAGCCCAGCATCCAGGCGAGCCTGCACGTGGTGCGCGTGGGCGGCACGTACGTGCAGGGCGGCATGGGCAAGCCCGACATAACGTTCCCGATTGTGGCGCTGTGCGTCAAGGAGGTGACGGTCCGGGGCAGTTTCCGGTACGGTGCGGGCGACTACCGGCTGGCCGTCGAGCTGGTGTCGTCGGGCAAGGTGGCGGTGAGCAAGCTGGTGTCGGAGACGGTGCCGTTTACGAGCGCGGAGGCCGCGTTCAAGAAGGTCAAGCAGGGCGAGGTGATTAAGATTTTGATTGCCGGCCCGAACGAGAAGGTGTAGGGAGTTGACGGTGCCGGGAGTCGTTCCAAGGAGTTGAGGTTGTGGTTGCAAATCGATGTTGATTGCTAGTCATACGTTATACGAGAATGAAATTAATTACTGTGTACTACTGGTGGGAATGAAGCCATGCATCATCACGACAGGACTTGCACTCGGAAGCATCGCCAATACAGAGCAGTTCAGTCGAGGAGTAGGCAATGTCGGTAAGGCACTAGAAGGCGTAGTCGAAGCGGCCCAGGATGCCAATGCCTCGGATCCACAAGGAAATTCAATTTGCCTCGACCGTGAAGTGAACCCAGGATGTTGATGGCAGCGACATTTCACCAGAAGTTAGCGCCATAGCGGCCGAACACTGGTGGCAGGCTGGAAGGCAGTGGCACGCTAGCTTTGCCTGCCACGGATGCCGCCTTCTGATTCGCTCAAACCGTAGTTGCCTAACGAGGCTGGCCCGTCCATCGTTCCTTCTGGATATCACATCACAATGCTCTTTCCGTCACTGTCCCCCCTTCCACCCTTCCCCCTTTCCTGCACTTCCGTTGTCCCTTTCCTGTCTCTTCCCTTTCTCCCTTCTCCCCGTCTCCTATTGTTTACAATCCGACCATGCGCTCCAAGCAATTAGGACGGCGTCACACACCCCTGCGTCAACGACAGCGCCACCGTCAAATCATCCATCCTATCGGGGCGTGATTGTTGACGAGACGGTGGGCCACTTACTTTAGACAATATGGACAACGACCTTATCAAGCAGCTGCAGGAGCAGCTGGCCCAGGCAAAGCAAGAGGCCGAAAGAGAGAGAGCGCGCGTTCAAGAGCTGGAACAAACTGCCAAGGCTGAACGCGACGCCCGCCTGGCTGAACGAGATGCCCGCCTAGCCGAACAGCGGCGTGCAGACGAAGAGACGGCAAAAAATCGCAACACGGTGTACTTCAACTACCTGCACAACATCCACCTGGAAATCCGCCCAACGCTCCGCGTCGAGACGGACCGCAATCAAGCAGCACTCGGGAAAGCCGCCAATGTCGCGGGCAAGGTGTACCCGCGGGCGCTGCGCCCATGGACCGATTTTCCCCGGCTGCACCAGCAGCACTTTGACGTGCTCACGGCCCTCTTTGGCGACGACCTGCTCTTTCCGTCCTACAACGACTCCCAGTCGGTGGCACGCAATCTCTCGCCCGGCAAGCGCCGCGACGAGCAGGACATCCGGCCCTTTATTCGGGCATACCTCGAGGTACCGTCGATGCAGATTGTACACGAATTTCTCCGGCGGACGCCCGACGCTCGGTACACGGGGCTCGGATTCCACTTTGGAAACAACGCCCACGGCACATTCGGGCGGAAAAAACGCGGTCCTGCCAGCACCAATGCACAAGACGAAGAATCGAGCAGCCCCAGCAACAGCCAGAGCAGTTCGTCTCGCCTCAAGCGGAAATTCAACAGCTCGTCGGCTCTGGTGCCGGACCGGTGGGGTCTGCGCGTGCGGCGACCCGCAGCAGATGCCGGCGTCGATCCTGGTGGCCAGGAACTGCCTGCGTGGTCCGAGAGCATTCTCCCCGGCGAGTACAAGGCTGCACACAAAGTGCGCGGCAGCGAGTTGCGCAACGTCCTGGGTGGCGTGCCGCCGGCCGCGTCGTTCATGGACGACTGTGCGCAGCGTCGTTCGAGTAGCAGCGGCAGCACCACCACCGACGCTACTGATGCCGCCGGCAGCAGCGGCAACGACACATCCATTGCTGAGATTCTGTGCCAGGCATACCACTACATGGTCGCCTGCGGGACCATCTACGGCTACGTGTCCTCTGGCGAGGCGACGGTGTTTCTCATGATGTCGCCCGACAATGCTGACACTCTGCTCTACCATTTTGTCGATCACACCGTACCGGCGACGCCCATTACACGGCCGGACGCGGAGCTAATGCATGTGCCCGCGGCCCAAATGGTCACGCTGGTCCTCGAGGCGCTCCTTGCAGAGATGCGAGCTCCAGCGGCCACTACTGCCTTGCTCGACAGCCTCCCGCGATGGCCTGCCGCGCCCGCAAAAGAGCCCAGCAGTGGTGGGGACTCAATAGATCGCAGCAACGTCCGTTCGCCAAGGGGTGGTGGTGGTGGCGGCGGCGGCGGCGGCGGCGCGGCCATGCCGCCAGAACAGCCCCCATCGCCTTCGCCGTCGTCGCGTGGTGGTGGCGGTGCTCCTGCGAGCGGCAATTCTGCACAACCTGGCAGTGGATCATCGCGGCCGTTACGTGTTGGTCGTATAGAGCCACCCCGGAGAAACTACTGCACGCAGGCGTGCCTGCTTGGTCTCTGCCGCGGCGGTCCGCTTGACCCGCGCTGCCCGAACACGCCGGAGCATGTGCGGGGACCGCAGGGCGAAAAAGGACGGTCGCTGTGGATCGGGGCCGATGGCCAGCAGCCGGACAGCCAGCTTTGCCACCCCATCACGTCCGCGGAACTCTGCAGTCTGCTCCTCGAGCAGCTGACGGACAGCCTCAGCGCCGGTGTTGAGTGCCTCATGAAGTACGGGCTGTTTGGTGCCATTGGCACGCTGTTCAAGGTCACGCTGTGCGCCTACGGGTACACCTTTGTGGCCAAGGGCGTCCAGGACGCCGACGAGGAGTATCTCAAGGACGAGGCCGCCATCTACATGCACCCCGTTGCGCAGCCGCTGCAGGGCGTGCTGATGCCCGTGTACCTCGGCTGGGTCGAGCTCGAAGAGTGGCCGTACATTCTACCGTCGGGCGCCTGCGTGTGGCACCTGGCGCTCCTGTCGTGGGTCGGCGTGTCGCTGGACCGGTACGTGCCGCCAGAGATGGCGCTGGACGTCCATGACAACGACGCCGTGCGTCAGTTGATGTATGACACGGAGAACGCGCTGTTCAAGCGCGGCATTGCCCACGATGACATCCGGTCGCCCAACTTGGCCTGGAACAAGGAGCTGCAGCGCGTCATGGTCCTGGATTTTGACCGCGCCTGGATTCCGGGCGACGAGGACAAAAAAGGCGGCAAAGGTGGAAACGATGGGAAGAACGGCATTGATGGCAAAGAGGGCAAAGAGGACAAAGATGGCAAAGATGGAAAGGATGGTAAAAGCGAGAAAGACCATGGTACATCCGAGGTCCCAGGCTGGAATCCTGATTCGCCAACGACAAAGAGAAAGGCAGCTGCTGAAAGCTACGAGGGTGCCGAAAATACCGACAAACGGCAACGACTATGAGTTGTCGTTGCATTCTCTTTCCAGTTTTGGTCAAAGTCGTCCTTGCTTTGACAATTCGGTCTTAGTTTTGTCTGCGGCGACTGCATACTTCAGTGCGCCCTCGGCGCTTTCTTATCGCAGCTTTATCCCCGGTCCTTCGCGGCGGTTAATACCTGCTATCATTCCCGTTATCCATGCAGGGTCCACGTCGCGGCCGGCTCCGCGATAAGGCGTGCAGGGACGTCTTGTATTCCTACTGTTGAGTTGCTTCTAGCGTGTGCTTCAAGTCTATTTACGATCACGACTTTATTTGACTCTTTTCATAGCCTGCCATTGTTAAGTTTTATCATTTTGATCATCTTTTCGTTCTCTCTATACCTCTTGTTCTTGCGGCTTTTTTTTTTTCTTATTTTCTTTGTTAACGACCATCACCTTCCCACCATGCTCGACTTGATCATACGCAACGGCCGCATCGTTACGGCCACCGAAGTCTTACCGGCCGGGCTCGAGATTGGAGTCAGGGATGGCAAGATTGCCGTCATTGGTCTTGGTCTCGACGCGGGTCCGGACACGGAAATCGTTGATGCCGAGGGGGCCTACATTACACCCGGTGGGGTGGATTCGCACGCCCACATTGAACAGGACAACTCGCCCACCGGCGACACGTGGACAACAGGCTCGCGGTCGGCCATTGCCGGTGGCAACACGACCGTACTGGCGTTTGCGTCGCAGCGGCGCGACGAGACGCGCTTGGGGCCATGTATCGAGCGGTACCATGCCAAGGCCACCGGCAACAGTTACTGCGACTATGGGTTCCACGTCATTGTCACCAACGCGACCGACGAGGTTCTGGACGAGGACCTCCCGCGTTTGGCGCGGGCTGATGGGGGCGGCATCACCAGCGTCAAACTGTACATGACGTACGCCCCACTGCACCTTGGCGACGGCGACTTGTTCCGCATCATGCTGGCCGCACGCTCCCTGGGCGTCACCACCATGATCCACGCCGAGAACCACGACATGGTCGAGCAGATTATGCAGCGGCTGGCCGCACGTGGCCATACCCAGACACAGTTCCATGCCGTAGCGCGCCCGCAGATTGCCGAGACCGAGGCAACGTACCGCGCCATCAGCCTGGCCGCCGTGACCGACGCACCCATCCTGCTGGTGCACATGTCTGCGCCGGCCGCTCTGGAGCACGTGCGGGCCGCCCAGGCGCGGCTGTTGCCCATCCATGCCGAGACGTGTCCGCACTACCTGTACTTGACCAGCGAGAAGCTGCACTCGCACGATCGTGACGGTGGTCATGACGGCATCGACGGCGCCCAGCACATATGCGCACCGCCGCTGCGACACGACAAGCGCGACCTCGAGCAGCTGTGGGCCGAGCTAGCCAACGGCACGTACACGGTCGTCTCGTCGGACCATGCGCCGGCGCTGTACGACCACCCGGAGGGGAAGAAGCGAGGGATCACGGCGGCGGGCCACGTCGACTTTCGCGTGGTGCCCAACGGCCTGCCCGGCATCGAGACACGCCTGCCGCTGCTCTTTGACCGGACATACGACCCGGAAGTCGGGCCGCCAGCGGCCGAGGATGCGCCCGTGCACATTTCGCTGCCGCGGTTTGTCGCGCTGACTTCAACCAACCCGGCACAGCTCTACGGGTTGGCGCACAAGAAGGGGAGTCTGCAGCCGGGGCTGGATGCGGACATTGTCGTCTGGTATCCGGCGACGTCGCCGCCCTTTACAATCACCAACGCGGCACTCCACCACCGCATCGACTACACCCCCTTTGAAGGGCGCGCCGTCTGCAACTGGCCGCGCTACGTCTTCCTCCGCGGCCGCCGTGTCTGGGACCGCGACCACGGCGGCGTGCTCGGCCAGCCGGGCGACGGACAGTACTTGCCGCGGACCAAGTCGCGCATTCTGACGGGCCAGCCAGGGCGGACAGCGGTGGGGATGGGGTATGGCGAGAGGAAGGCGTGGATGTAGCGAGGCGTTCGTGGCGGCTGTGGAGAGGGTGGAGGGGTGCGGAGATTATGGAGCTTTTGCGTCGGTGAGGGTTTTCTCCCCGAAAACAAAAACACTCTGGATAATAATGACGACACTGGACGGCAGCGGCTTTTCCAGCCGCTCGGAAGACGGCATTTGCGTGCCGATTATATCCCCGCTTACAATCAGCTGGCAATCATCTTGCAATCATCTTGCAATCAACCCGCAACTTAGCCGCTGTATGGCCCATAAGAACGGCAGCCAAATGCAATTACCGCTCATCAGGAACGCAATTAAACAGCTGGAGAACTGGTGCACGCACTGGCGTAATCAGTTGAATGCTGGAGACAATCACATATAAAATCAAGATGGGCGAACAAGAAAGGACGTTTCCTTGGCTTTTGCAAGACCAATGGTAGCGACAAACTTTGTTGACTTGTTGACTTGTTGACCGCTGACTGTTGACTGTTGACTGTTGACTTTTGACTGTTGACCCTGTTCACCTTGTCAAACTCACCATGCCCTCTCTCACAGCACTGCTGCTTGCGGGTGTGGCCTCACCAGCCGCGGCCCTGTACACCTTCCCCGACTGCACCAATGGGCCCCTCTCCAACAACACGGTGTGCAACCCCAAGGCCGCGCCTGCGGCCCGCGCCGCGGCCCTCGTGAAGGCCATGACGGTCGACGAGAAGCTTGACAACCTTCTCGACGCTAGTCCCGGCGCACCCCGAATTGGTCTGCCGGCGTACGAGTGGTGGAGCGAGGCGCTGCACGGCGTGGCCGGGTCGCCGGGCGTCAAGTTTAACATCGGGACAAACAGCAGCGACTTCAGCCATGCCACGTCGTTTGCGGGCCCCATCACCCTGTCGGCAGCGTTTGACGACGACCTCGTGGAGCGCGTCGCGACGGTGGTGAGCACGGAAGCACGCGCGTTCGGCAACGCCGGCCGGTCGGGGCTCGACTTTTGGACGCCCAACATCAACCCGTACAAGGACCCGCGCTGGGGCCGCGGCTCCGAGACGCCCGGCGAGGACCCGTTCCGCATCAAAGGGTACGTGCGTGCACTCCTGCGCGGGCTGGAGGGCCCGTACGTGGGCGGCGGCAACGGATCGGCGAACGCGCACCCGAGCGGGCCCGGCAATCACGGCCACGGCGGAAACAGCACACGCTCCAACATCCGCAAGATCATTGCCACCTGCAAGCACTACGCCGCGTACGACCTCGAGCGCTGGAACGGCACCGAGCGCTACGGCTTCGACGCCATCGTATCCCTGCAGGACCTGAGCGAGTACTACCTGCCGGCGTTCCAGCAGTGCGCGCGCGACTCGCGCGTCGGGTCCATCATGTGCTCGTACAACGCCGTCAACGGCACACCGGCGTGCGCCAACACGTACCTGATGACGGACATTCTGCGTGAGCACTGGGGCTGGACCGAGGACAACAACTACGTGACGAGCGACTGCAACGCGGTGCGCGACTTTGACCACCAGCACGCGTACGACAAGAACGGCGCCGAGGCAGCGGCCGCGGCGTATGGGGCCGGCACGGACACGGTGTGCGAGACGTGGTCGGCCACGGGGACAGACGCGCGCGGCGCGTACAACCAGTCGCTGCTGTCGGAGGCCGTGCTGGACCGCGCCCTCTCGCGGCTGTACGAGGGCCTGGTGCGCGTGGGCTACTTTGACCCGGCCGACGCATCACCGTACCGCGCGCTCGGCTGGAAGGACGTGGACACGCCGGCGGCACGGGCCCTGGCGCACCAGTCGGCCGCTGACGGGCTCGTCCTCAAGAAGAACGACGGGCTGCTGCCCCTGGCGGTCGACACCAACAAGACGGTGGCCCTGATCGGCCACTGGGCCGACCAGACGCACACAATGCTGGGCGGCTACAGCGGCATACCGCCGTTCTACCACAGCCCCGCGGACGCGGCTGCGGCGCGCAACTGGTCGACCGTCGTGTTTGGCCGCGCGAACGGGGCGCCCATCAGCGACCTGTGGCACGGCGCACCCGACTCGTGGACGCGGCCGGCGCTGGCGGCCGCGGCCAAGGCGGACATTGTCCTGTACTTTGGCGGCACCGACCAGAGCATTGCCGCGGAGGAGAAGGACCGCGTCGACATCACGCTGCCGGGCGTGCAGCTCAACCTGGTCAACGCACTGGCGGCGCTGGGCAAGCCGCTGGTGGTTGTGCAGCTGGGCGACCAGACGGACGACACGCCGCTCCTCACGAACAGCAACGTCAGTGCCGTGGTGTGGGCCGGCTACCCGGGCCAGGACGGCGGCAACGCGGTGCTGGATGTGCTGACCGGCGTGAAGGCGCCGGCGGGCCGGCTGCCGGTGACGCAGTACCCAGCCAACTACACCGACGCCGTGCCCATGACGGACATGCGGCTGCGGCCGGCGGCGGACGCCGGCACGCCGCACTCGTCGAATCCCGGCCGCACGTACCGCTGGTACGACAAGGCGGTGCTGGCGTTCGGCCACGGCTTGCACTACACCACCTTTGCGGCCAAGCTGACGACGCTGACGCCGTCGGCGGCGCGTGCGCGCAACGCGACCATCCCGCGGCCCATCGCCGGGAACGGCACCAGCACGTTCAGCATTGCCGACGTGGTCGCGCGGTGCGCGCAGCAGGGCGGCAAGGCGGCCGTGCGCCACAAGGATCTGTGCCACTTTGCCAACGTCGCCGCCAGCGTGACCAACACGGGCAACACGACGTCGGACTTTGTGGCCCTGGCGTTTTTGGCCGGCGAGTACGGGCCGGCGCCGTTCCCGCGCAAGACGCTCGCCGCCTACCGCCGCCTGCGCAACGTGGCGCCGGGCAAGACGACGACCACGGCGCTGTCGCTGTCGCTGGGCAACCTGGCGCGCACAGACGCCGCGGGCAACCTGGTGCTCTACCCGGGCAAGTACACGCTGCTGCTGGACGAGCCGACGCAGAGCACGCTGGCGTTTGAGCTGACGGGCGACGCCGTCACGCTGGACGAGTTTCCGCAGCCAAAGTAGGTTGGCAGATGGTCAAACAAAGTGAGGTGAGGTTGTACATACGATAGTCCAGGTTGACAATAGGAGGAGGAAAAAGATAAAAAAAAGGTAAATAGACGGTGCAGAATAAGACAATGATGGCTTGCAAAACAGATAAGTGAATGCCAGTCGTGTCATTGTAAGATGGGATGCCCTTTGGTGAAGTGCCAAATCATGCCACGTTGGTCATGTCGAAGAGGCGGACAGGTAGACTCACACGATGTGCAGCTGTAAGCAGGTAGCAGGGCAGTCTCCTGCCTATGGCAATCAACTTGTCCGAGGCTGAGAGCCGTAGCCGTCACTTGACGATGCCCTGTGTTCGCTGCTGTTTCTTTGGCTCTTCTTGTCTTGTAGTCCTTTCCCTCACGCTACCGGCGCCACGCACATGCGCCTCCTCCACAACGCCATCGTCCGCGGCTGCAACAGCATCGTCTGGAACGACAACCGCAACGAACGCTGGGCCCAGAGACAAGGAGGCGTTGTCGTCGTCCTTTCTTTTGTTTATTTTGATGTCCGCGCGACATTGTGTCCTCTTATCCGAGCTTTCTTAGCGTAGGCGGCGTCCCAGTCGTCCCAATCATATGAGCACCCATCTCTCGTCTACATCCCAATAGTTTCCGTCTGCAGTGCCTCAGTGCTTAGCTGGCCGTCGTATCGTCGGATTGCGCTCTCTGCTTTGAGTGTCGTACAGAATACCAGAACCTCCAGTTCTCCAATTTACAGTGGGTCCTGCCATCTACCTTCCCACTCTCTCCCACGCAGCTCCCCTCCAGCAGCCAATCAGCGTCCAGTGGGGCGAACGACGTCGAAAGGCCTAGAAAGCTTTCCTGCCCCACCCGCGCTGCCTCGTGCCTGCCCTCTGCAGATTTATTCTGTGCCTGCCTCCCGGCAACGACTTGTCACCCAGCCCGACCTTTCCCAGTCGTACCTTCCCAACGTTGCAGTCTCCGGTGTCAGTTATCGGGAACGATTTGTCACAACTAAATCCCAGCGTCTCGACAATCACCAAACTCTCTCACCCAGTCTCACCCAGTCTCCCTCCACAATCGCCAGTCTCCCGCCGCCATCACACGCACCCCATCCTCGCCTCCCGCCATGGCCACCTCCGACGAGCTCAAGGCGCTCGGCAACAAGGCCATTGCCGCCAAGAACTTTGACGAGGCCGTCGAGCACTTCACCGCCGCCATCGCCATCGACCCGGAGAACCACATTCTCTTCTCCAACCGCTCGGCCGCCTACGCCTCCAAGCGCGACTGGGACCATGCCTTTGCCGACGCCGAGAAGACCACGCAGCTCAAGCCCGACTGGCCCAAAGGCTGGGGCCGCCTGGGCAGTGCGCTCTACGGCAAGCGCGATCTTGTCCGCGCCTACGAGGCCTACCAGGAGGGCCTCAAGCTCGACCCCAACAACAAGGGCATGAAGACCGATCTCGACAACGTCGAGCGCGCCATGGACGCCGAGCTGCGCGACGGCGGCCGGGCCGGCGACGGCAGCAGCTTCTCCCCATCCAATGCCGCCGACGAGATGGGCGGCATGTTCAAGGACCCGGCGCTGCTCGGCAAGCTGGCCGCCAACCCCAAGACTGCCGCCTACCTGCGCGACCCGACCTTTATGCAGCGCCTGCAGGCCATCCAGGCGAACCCGAGCAACGTGCAAGACATCTTCAGCGACCCGCGCATGATTGAGGTCATGGGCGTCGCCATGGGCCTGGACTTGAGCATGGCCGGCATGCCGGGTGCCGCGGGCGGTCCGGAGGCGGCCGACGCCCCGACGGCCAGTGCTGGTGCTGCTGGTGGTGCTGCTGGTGGTGCTGCTGCTGCGGCTGCCTCGTCCACCGCTCCAAAGGCAGAGGAAAAGGTCGAGGAGGTCGTCGAGGAGCCCGAGGCGCCCGAGGAGGAGGACGAGGAGGCCAAGGCCAAGCGCGCGGCCAAGGAGGAGGCCGACAAGGAAAAGGCGCTGGGCACCGCCAGCTACAAGAAGCGCGAGTTTGACGACGCCATTGCCCACTACCAAAAGGCCTGGGACCTGCACAAGGACATTGTGTACCTCAATAACCTGGGCGCCGCCCAGTTCGAAAAGGGCGACTACGAGGCCGCCATTGCCGCCTGCACCCAGGCCGTCGAGGAGGGCCGCGCGCTGCTGGCCGACTGGAAGACCATGGCTAAGTCGTACGCGCGCATCGGCACCGCCCACGAGCGCCTGGGCCAGCTCGACCAGGCCATTGACAACTACAACAAGTCGCTGCGCGAGCAGCGCACGCCCGACGTCGTCGCCAAGCTGCGCGCGGCCGAGCGCCGCCGCATCGACGAGGCCAAGCAGGCGTACATTGACCCGGCCAAGGCCGAGGCCGCCCGCGAGGAGGGCAACCGCAAGTTCAAGGAGACGGACTGGCCGGGCGCCGTCCAGTGCTACACCGAGATGATCCGGCGCGCGCCCACCGACCCGCGCGGCTACAGCAACCGCGCCGCCGCCTACGCCAAGCTGCTCGAGCTGCCGTCCGCCCTCGACGACTGCGACGCCGCCATCAAGCACGACCCCACCTTTGTCCGCGCCTACATCCGCAAGGCCCAGACCTACTTTGGCATGCGCAAGTACTCGGACAGCGTCGACGCCTGCGCCGAGGCCGACCGCGTCGACAAGGAGTTCCACAACGGCGCCAACGCCCGCGAGATTGACCAGCAGCAGCAAAAGGCCCTGGCCGCCATGTACAGCGCCCGCGACAACGAGACCGAGGAGCAGACCCGCGAGCGCATCGCCAACGACCCGGACATTATGGGCATCATGCAGGACCCCGTCATGCAGGCCATTTTGCAGCAGGCCCAGGGCGACCCGGCCGCCCTCAACGAGCACATGCGCAACCCCAGCGTGCGCACCAAGATCCAGAAGCTGATTGCCGCCGGCGTCATCCGCGTGGGCCGGTAGACAAGGAGGACGAAAGGCAGCAAGATACCAAGAGGGTAGTGCCACACAAAATGAAAACAAAAAACAAAACAGAAAAAGAAAGAAAGCACAATAGCATTTGTTGGCGGCGTCCGACCAGCGGTTTCCATTCCGATTTGTCCGTTTCATGGAGTGTTTAGTTTGGTTTGCGTGTTTTATGTTTTCCGTCGTGTTGGTGCACGTGCATGTCACACATAACATAGTAATACAGCCCAGAATGTGTCCGACTTTTGTGTACTATTAAGTCTATCGACAGGGTTTTCCTATGCATATGCGAATGCGACAATGGCACGGCGGATGCCTGTAGCAGACGCCAGCCAATAAACCTGCGCTGCGTTCAACAAGCCCGCCGGTGCCGTTCTATCTATCTACTATTAATGCGGCCATTGCAATGATCCGCGATGAGGGGGGGCGTAACAAACATTGTGCGTCGTTTACCTTGGCAACGGCCAGCCGGCATGTACGTTCCCCAATGCTGGCCGAGTGACACAGTCGCCCGCCCAACCAGCCTATCGCCGCGACCGTTCCACCGCCGCCGGGCTCAGCGCCGCCGTGCTGGCCGACCGCTCCACGCCGGCAGCAGCGGCACCACCAGGCACCACGGGCGTCAGGCCTGTCACGGGCGTCAGGGCGCCGCTGGGCGTGGGCGGGGCGGGCGTCGTCGTGCGCGTCGGCGGGGCCGAGCGGTTGTGCGCCATGTGGGCCCTGACCAGGTGGCCCGCCGCCAGGGCCGAGCAGAGGGACAGCTCGCCGGCCAGCGTGGCGGCGGCGATGATGCGGGCGAGGCGGCGGGCGTTCTCACCCGGGCTGGTGGGGTGGGGCCCGCGGACGCCGAGCAGGTCGAGCATGGCGCCCTGGGGCTCGAGGATCGTGCCGCCGCCAATGGTGCCGACCTCGATGGACGGCATGGACACGGAGATTTGCAGGTTGCCCCGCAGGTTCTTCATAATGGTGATGCAGTTGGCGCTCTCGACGACCTGGGCCGGGTCCTGGCCCGTGGCAATGTAGATGGCGGCGACAATGTTGGCGGCGTGGGCGTTGAAGCCGCCAATGGCGCCGGCCATGGCGGAGCCAATCAGGTTCTTGGAGATGTTGAGGTCGACGAGCGTGTCGACCTCCGTCTTGAGCACGTTGCGGACCACGTCGCCGGGGATAATGGCCTCGGCCACGACGCTCTTGCCGCGGCCGTCGATCCAGTTGAGCGCCGCGGCCTTCTTGTCGATGCAGTAGTTGCCACTCAGCGACACAATGTTCATGTCCTCGAACCCGGCCTCGTTCATCATGACGTTGAGCGCGTGCTCGACGCCCTTGGAAATCATATTCATGCCCATGGCGTCGCCCGTCGTCGTCTTGAAGCGCACATACAGGTTGGTGCCCGCCAGCGCCGTCTTCATGTGCGACAGGCGTGCGAAGCGGCTCGTCGAGTTGAACGCCTTGCGCATCGTATTCTGGCCCGCCTCCGAGTCCAGCCAGATCTTGGCCGCGCCCGCACGCTCGACCGTCTCGAAGCTCAGGCACGGGCCGCGCGTCATGCCGTCGGCCGTCAGCACCGTCACCGCGCCGCCGCCGGCGTTGATGGCCTTGCAGCCCCGGCTCGTGCTCGCGACCAGCACGCCCTCCGTCGTGGCCATTGGGATGAAGTAGCTCTTGCCGTCAATGACAATAGGACCGGCCACGCCCACGGGGATGGGCATGTAGCCCACGACGTTCTCGCAGCACTGGCCAAACACCTGGTCCCAGTTGTAGTTCTCAAAGGGCAGCTCGGACTCGTCGAGCAGACCCGTGAGCTCCTCCGTGGCCTTGGTGCGGGCAATGGTGTGGCGCCGGATCTTGACGGCGCGGGTGTAATCTTTGAGCGTCTTCTCGAGCGCGTAGCCGGGAATCTTGCCGCGCAGCGACAGGTACACAAGCTCGCCGTCCGTCAGCTCTTGGGCGCGTTGGTCCTTGAGCATCTGCTCCATCTCGGCAGGGGTGCGCTGGATCAGGGCCGCCTTGGCCTTGGCGGCCTGCAGGTCGGCCTGGGACGGGCTGGGCTTGGGCGCGCCCTCGCGCTGCTTCAAGGGCCGCATGGCGAGCAGCTCGCCCTCGTCGTCCGTCAGGGCGGGTGTCATAGGCTTGTTGCCGATGGGGGTGGGCGGCATGTACTCGCCCATGGGCAGCGTGGCGGACGCGGTGTCGTTGAACTTTTGGGCCTGGGCCAGCTCACGGGGGTCGATGGGGTGGTCGGGCACGTTGGGGTCCTTGATGCCCCAGCGGGCGACATTGAACAGGTAACCGTTGAGGACCACACTCAGGGCCAGGGCGACAATAATCCACTTGGACAGAACGGGATCCTCGAGGCTCTTGAGGATGCTGTCGACCATGCGGCCGCCGACGCCGCCGTAGGTCAGGTCCGAGGCGGCATAGCCGGTGGCCGAGCTGGAGGCGCCGTGGCTGCCGGAGCGGCTGCCCGTGGGCAGGGCGTAGTGGACCGACGGGAACTCGAGCTCGTACTTGATGGGGGTCAGGATGGTGACGACGGTGTCGCGGTTCTGCGCCTTGGCCGAGGCCAGGATGGTGTCGAGACCGCTGGCGGCGACCTTGAAGGGATCGACGGGCGGGGAGGCAACGACGCCACCGAGGCCACCGGTCATGGACGAGATGGAGGCCAGCGAGTCGACGCTGCGGAAGGGCAGCGTGCAGAGGTTGAGGACATTGATAATGACAAACCCAGTGACCATGAGGACCTTGAACTTGGGGACGCTGGTGCTCTTAATCTGGCGGCCAAAGATGGAGGCGGTGGGCTCGCCGCGGCCGTCGGTGCGGAAGCCGTCGTTGCTCTGGGCGACGTTCTCGGCGACGCGGCGGCTGACGCCGTCGTCTTCGAGGGCGCGGCGCAGCTCGACGTGGCGCTTGATGCGGTTGATCTCGAGCTTGATGCAGAGGATAGCACTGTAAAACGTAAACAGCAGGACGCAGTCAAAAACAAGAATCCAGGCGGCGAGGAAGCAGAACTGCTGCAGGCCACCCTGGACGCCCGAGGCGGCGCCGATGACAAGAATCAGAATCTCAATGGCGTAGTCGCGCACAATGTCGTAGCCCTTCTCCTTGATGGCCATCTGGATGGCGTACTGGATGACGCTGGGCGAGCTGGTGGTGGTGACCTTCTTGGCCGACGCGGCGGCAGCGCGGGCCGACGATTTCTTGGATGAGCCCGAAGCAGCAGCGGCGGCGGCCGGACGCTCCAGGTTGCGGCGGCGCTCGAGGGCGTGGGACAGCACGGCTTTGGTCAGAGCAATATTCTTCTCAAAGCCAATGGTGACGACCAAGAACGGCAGGCCCTCGGACAGCAGGACCATGCTGACGGGGACGCCGAGCTTGGTGGTGACGATGAGGCCGAAGAGGAAGGCAAAGGTGGACGAGAAGAGGACGCTGGTGCCGAGCCAGAAGTTGGAGCCGAGGCGGCGCATGGACAGGAAGAGCGAGACAAACGTCAGGTGCATGGACAGGTAGCCGAGGACCATGATGATGATGTCGAGGGTGTCGGCGTTCTTGAGCAGGTCGACAAACTCGACCCAGCCGTTCTGCAGCCAGCGCAGGATGCTGGAGCCGGTCTGGGCCGCGCCGGCGGCCTTCATGATCCACATCTTCTTCTCGCGGCCGTGCTCCTCGGTGACGCGGGTGGCCGAGGCGTCGTCGGTATGCTGCTGCTGGTCGGCAATGCTGTCCGCCGCCTCGTGCAGCGGGATCTCGCGGGCGGCCGACGTGAACTGGGCGGCGTCGTCGTAGGCGGCGGCAAAGGCCAGCGAGGTGTCCTGCGAGTAGGCGCCGAGCGGGTTGGCGGTCGAGGGCAGGGCGGAGACGGAAATGTTGGCGGGGATGGGGACGCTGTCGACGAGCGGGGCCGTCTTGGGGGCGCTGTCCGACGAAGACTCGGGGAAGACAAAGGTCAGGAGGGCGAGGTGGTCGGCGGTCTTGGGGACGCGGGCCGCGTCCACGTCCCAGGGCTGCCACTTCCAGGCGGTGTCGGCGCTGACGCGCAGGCTGCGGCTGCCCTCGGACAGCGACGACCAGTCGGCGCGGCGGACGGAGCGGGAGGCGTCAAAGATGCTCTCCTCGAGCAGGCCCATGTAGGTGGAGCTGGCGAGGACGGCGACGATGACGACGGTGTGGATGGGGTGGGAGGAGGTGAGGCTGGACAAGAGCTGCAGCAGCGGGGTGAGCTTCTTGTTGAGCCACGACGGTGCGGCGGCCTGGGCGGCGGGCTGCTCGCCGCGGAAGCGGGAGGGCAGAAAGGCCGAGGCGGAGGAAATCATGGTCGATGTGGCGGTGGTGGACAGTGGTTCGCGTTGGGGCTATTGGGGATGCATTGGCTGGCAGGTCGAAGGACGTGTCAACTGTCAACTGTCGAGAGCTGGGGACGCGTGACGTTAGCATGGGGGCGGCACAAGTGAGGCTTTTCAAAAGCTGGCGATGTTCAGAAAAACGCTCGTGTGCAGGATGACAAAGCTAGGGAAAGTGCAATGGAGTGGCACGGAGTACGGCAGGCAGGCTGGCAGCTGTTTATTGGGAGGCATGTGGAATACACGTACATGCGAAGTGGGATTGGCGGATGGTCAACGAAACAGCCGGCAGGCAAATGGGCAACTGGCCGTTACCGAGAGGAGATTGCAGCCAGAACAGAGCTTGCGAGAGCCGGCGTTGAGGGAGAAAGGTGAGGCTGCAAACTGCAAAGTGCGGAGGAAAAGGGAATGGGAAAGGAAAGGGGAGGAAAAGAAGACAGAGACAAGGGACACGAGAAAAATCTCCAGAAAGGAGAGATAGGGGAAGAGGAGAACCACTGGACGGTGTGGCGACGGTGGAGTCGTGGCAGAAAAAGAAGGGCATAAGGGGGGTGATGAGAAGGAAAAGGAGGTTAAAATGAAAGAGGAAGCCCCCCAAAAAGCAGATGGTGAAAGACGGTGAACAATGGCAGAAACGGACCCACTTTGGTGGTTGATCTGGGCAGGAACAAGCGTGGAGCGTGGAGTATGGAGCGTGGGTGGCGTGGAAGGTGCAAGGGACGTATTTCGTAAACGGTGCAGAACTCAAAACAGAAGGAACGATGCAGTCCAGATACGTTGTCAGGTTGTGTAATTGCGAATAAATAAGACGGACGCGGGAGATCATTACAGGCCGAGGCCAAGGAAAAACAGGATTGCGAGGCAAACAACTTTCGAGCAACGAAAGCGCACGCCAAAGATTGCCCGTCCCGGGTAGGCTTGCTGCCGGGAGATGTTAAGGGACGATCAGAGAGCACAATGGAAGGCTTAAAAGGGCAGACCAAAACGATGCAAGGCAGTTAGTGGGCTCCTTCCATTGATTCGGTTGGACGGCGAGACAAAGCCCAGGCTGCGCCTTCCCGATTGCGACTTGAAAAAAAAAAATTGTGGGGTCCACAGTTCGTCCGTCGCAGCTTCCCGTCAAAGTCGTTGTCTCCTATTGGCACAACTTACATTGAAGACCGTCGGGATTGGACGGTGCCAAGTATAGCGGTTGCAGCCAATTGAAGACAGCGAGACAGCACAATTCTCCATACAAGAGGACGCCAACAGCATCGAAATGCCTTTGACACCCGAAACCCGGTAAGAACAGCCAGAAAGGCTAGAACCAAAGGACATCAGAAAGATTCCATCTTGCGTCGGCTCGGAATCAGAAAGCGACGTCCGTTACACGGCACGCGAATCCGTGGTAACATCGCGTGCCGCTGCCAAAGACACCGTTGTAAGCCTCCTTTGGCGCTAAATTCCAGTCCCTGGCACCTTGCGCTGCTTCGCTGCGCATCTCCGAGTACGAAGTAAGAGTATTTTGTTCTTTTTGGAAGCTCGAGGTATTCGGTCCCAAAAGCCACATACGATACGTGTTTTATTTCTCAGCCGCGAGGAACCCACCGGCCCTATCAATCCTCCTCTAAAATTCTCGAGTGCTCGATCCAAAATATCAGGGAGCAAAAGCGGAAGGAGTGGGCATCGTCACGATGGGCATGCTGCCGTCATTTCATGCTGGGTTCGTCGACGGGAGGGCATCTACTCTGCGCGAGATGGACACAGCAACTACTGCGCATGAGACGACTGCCGTACACGCGCAGCCAAATCTGGCCACTCTGGGTGACTAAGCTTGGGTGATATTATTCCATGAAGCGAAGGGGCGGTGCAGAACACCTTGCCCTATCATATACGAAATACAACACACAGAGTACTTTGTACGAGTTCGAACATCGTACCCGCACTCGTCATATATTTAACAACAAGGATGAAGACGTCAAATTGTCAACAGCTTCAACAATGCACATCACAAAACTTCCGTGCGAGATCATCAACGCAGTGCTGCAGCACGTTGACAGCCTACACAACTTGTCCTCTGCATTGCTCACTTGCCGTCATGTCTACACCAGCTTCCAAGAAAACCCACATGTCGCAGTCGACATTTTGCAGCGACAAATCGCCCCAGAGCTGCTCCCGTATGCCGTTGCAGTGACGGAAGCATCGCGCGTTGGTCCGCGAACCGGCCCAACAGTCCAGGCGCTGCTCGATAAGCTCAACAGGGAGCTGCACACGGAGTCGCCAGAGGCACAAGGGCTGCAGACACGGACGCTTGTAAGCCAGCTGGCGACAATGCCGTTCCCACTACTGTCGCAGATGAGCCACATGCACGACGTTATTCACAGCTTCGTAACGGCATTTTCGACCAGTGCATGGACACTTCTGTCATCCCGACTCGTATTTGCACCATGCGGAGAGAGCGTGTCTCTGTCACCAAAGGAATACACTCGCTTCTGTCGTGCCTTTTACCGGATGGAATTATACTTCCGCCTCTTTCCACACTCTGACTCGCCGGACGAAGAAACAAGTAGCGGTGCCCTGTTTTACGCATGTTTCCGGCGTGGGAAAACGAGGCGATTGGCTGTGTGCAAGACTTTCTCGAACTTCAATTTTCAAAAGGTGCCGTCATATCCTTCACCTTATTCTCTCTTTTCGTATTTTCTTCTTATTTTTCATGCTAATATATGACTCATAAAGCCTCCCGGGACGTTGTTGCCCATGATGTTTTATTTGGCGAGATGAGCGTCGACTATCTCACGCCGGGCCATATGAACCTTTCAAGACAAACTTGGGTAAGAAAATAACTACATTCTTACTCCACTAAACTACGTCTTTTTTTATGTATATATATACTAACGTATATAATATGCCTTTCTAGCTAGGCCAAGGTGTTTGTTTTACGCATCAACTTTTAATAAAACCTTCGTACAACGGCAAGGCGACAACTCCTAACGTCTACGTTTACGTTTACGTCCAACGGGTCGGATCTACACGAAACACTCCTCGAACTATACGCGGAAGACCGACGCGTCAATGACACGCCGCTGCAAGACTATTCCAAAGAGAAACGAGAGGCCCTGTTTCAACCATCGGAACCTCGACACGATGCTGACAGGGGTCCCTTTGAGGCATGGTGGGCCGCCAACAAAGAACTGCCCCTCCATAGCTCGCTCATGATGTACCACAATACGGGATTCCGCGATCGGGCATATGTTCTCTGGGACGAGGATCGTCTGAAGCTATACAGCTTACTCAATCTGTTCACTGAATATGCACCCGAGTCGGAGCTGGAGCTGGAGGATACGATAGAGGAGCATGATGCTATGGAAGCGTCATTTGATGCCCGGTCCGAGATCTACCAGAAGGGCGGCCGAGGATACTGGAGCAAGGATGACGAAAGTCGGATTGTATGGCCAGAGATATCCACTGGGCACTGAGGCGGAATATTATCTGAGGTTCTGTGTATTCATTTTTTAAAGAGAGAAGAAAAAAAAAGAATTACGGTAATGTACTTTTGACAAAATAAAATCCCATGGGGTAAAACAAACCCCCCCCCCCCCCCGGCGCAAAAAAACCGCACACATGATAGAATTGAACCCGATAAAAACACGGAATCAATAAAAAAGATGTGAGATAACTCCTCTGACAATACATAAATATGACTGCCCGGGTCAAACCAAAACCCCAAAACCCGATACCCAATCCGCAACACCATTACTGTTGATGAACACCCTCTCCTACTTCCACCATTAAAGTGCTCGGTACCTCAGAGAGGGGAATGGCACTTAAAGTACTTAATGTGGACTAACTCAAAATCGAAAACATTAAAAAAAAACGCAAAAAAAACGCAAAAAAAACGCCCCGAAAAGCAAAAAGGAAATCAACTCTGCGTCGGCCGGGAATCGAACCCGGGGCCTGTCGAGCTTGCGTTGGATCGTATAACCCAACCTGGCAACGACAGATTTTACCACTAAACCACCGACGCTTGTGATGTTCGTTGAAACGGCGACTACTAATACGGTATATGTCAGAGGTCCAAGGGACAGAGGTTGTGAATCAGAGAGGATTACAAAAAACCTAGGTATATGTGGTTACAAAATTCAATCCTTATCCCTTTTCTACCAGAAGGAGGGGCGCGGATGGGCTTATATTAGTATCTAAAACATCACCGTGGATTCACCGTTGAATCCCAAAGTGCCAAAGGCATTCATACCGTAAGGCGCATGGCTTCAGAGGTACTAAGGAGGGGCCTATCAGGTGACAACAACCGACGCCTGGTAACGGTCCAGCAGCGGGCCGCACCTTCTGATCAGGTAATGGCTTCACAGTGGACTCCGTTTGTCAGAGGGTCCTAGGGATAGGGGTTCAATAGAGAGAGGATCACGAAGCAAGACAGCCAAAACGTAGGTAGTAGGATGTGCAAAATCTAATCCTTACCCCGCCTCATCGAGAGGAGAGGGCTCGGATGAGCTTATATTGTTATCTGTAGAAACACCGTAGATTCCCCGTTGAATCAACGCATGCCTAAGGCACCCACACAGGAGGCGCCCTGGCCTTAGAGGCTGGCGGCCAGCTATAGAGGGGAGTGCATAGGCACTCTGCGATGCACCGTAGAATCTCCGGCGAATAACAAGTAAGTGGAAGGGGCCTGTAGGTGCCTGACAATTGGCCAGGGCCGTGGCGGCTGGCGGCGGCCATGCTGGCGGGCCGCGCCCAGCAGGCACGCTAGTAAGGCCTGGCTGACATAAGCGGTGAAACCCCGTTGAATCCCCGTAGATTCAACGGTGTTTGGGTATGCCATGACACCGTTGAATAACCGAAGACTCGCTGGGTAATCCAAGGGCTTCAATAGGTTATGATAATAATATTTACTTCGTATTAGCGAGAATACTTGTTCAATTAGGTAAATCCATTTTTTTTAAAAATATATATATATATATATATATATATAAAGAGAGAGAGAGAGAGAGAGAGAAACAAACTACAGAGGATGCTAACTTGGTAGTTAGTGTATGACTCTCGGAAGGAGTTCAAAAAAGTAATTTAAAAAGAAAACCAATTATGCGTCGGCCGGGAATCGAACCCGGGGCCTGTCGAAGTTGCGTCAGGCCATGTGACCGACTTGGCAACGACAGATTTTACCACTAAACCACCGACGCTTGGGCTTGTTGTTGTTATATCCGAGTGCTCCGTATCCAATATTATGAATATCGTTCTTCATTTGTTCATCCACGCAACATATATTTAACTCCCCTTTTGGACAGTTGCAACGACTCTTTGCTGTCTTTGTTTCTTTTGTCTTCCCTTCTCCCGGTCACTGTTTTCTCGACTGTGTCCGCCCTTTACGTCTTGCACTTGCATGCTTTATGTTTGTCTCCCTTGCAGGCAACAAAGAAACGCCCTGACAACGTGCCACGCCCTGAGAGCCCTGAACGGGCTGCTCCCGTTCCATCTGACAAAGAGAATGCGGCCGGGCTAATCAATCGGGCTAATCAATCGGGCCAACCGTCTTATTCGGTCATCGTTTGGCTCGTTTTGGCTCGTTTTGGCTTGCGATTGTACGCCCGACGCGTCGTGCCCTTCGCTTAGCATAGCTCGTCCCACACTGCTGCCCGCTGGCTGTCTCTCCCGGAATCGTCATCTTCCGAAGACAACGACGCAAGTAAAATAACAAAAAAAAAATAGAAGCAGACAGACACAAAGCTTCACGCCAACACGGTCTTGCTGTTCTGCCGCGTCTGGGAAAGTGTGGGGTGACTCCCCGACCTGTCCAGCCATGTGACTGTTTCTTTGGCTTTTCTCTGGCTTTTCTTCTTCCTGGCTTTCTCTTTCCTAGCTATTCTCTTTCCTAGCTTTTCTCTTTCTGGATTTTCTCTTAACACGTATTCGGACAATTGCCGCGACTACGACAGGGGATGTGTTCATTAGCATGGCCCAACGGCCAGTGGCCTTCTGAATTCGTGACATTTGCCGCCCTGCCGACGTGCAGTATCCTTCTTATACAACGTTGATGTGATGATATTGAGCAAAGAAGCTCTGCAATTTACAAACAAGAGCATTGTGTAGAGCTGCACTTGTCGTGCCGTGTTGCACGTGACGGGCCTTCGGACTTGCTATCACGCCGTTGTTATACCCGCAGCTCTTAGTGGTCTGACAGCTCGCCGTAGTGCTCCGTACTGACACTTGACATGCACATCTCTAGTAAGACAGCTCCTGTCATACGGCAGCACAGCTCCACCGCTCCCCTCCTCCCCCCCTTCTTATCAGCGCTGACGACATCGACGCACGACGACAGAGACCGGCCATGTTCTCCCATTTTCCGCAAGCACTACGACCTGCTCTTCTTCGTAGTCATTGCTAGCAACTGCATCGCATGCAATTGCTCGTCGTCGTGCCATGGTCGACAATACATTCAACCCGGCGTTGATCGTCGTTGATTTGCAAGAAGACTTTTGTCCACCTGTGAGTTTATTTTGTAAATGTATTTTTTTAAAGGTTGAACAATTGCACCCCCTACCGATACAGTCCTGACGTGAACAGAACGGCACCCTGGCCGTTGCCGAGGGCCGCGCCATCGTCGCCGTCGTCAACGAGCTGCTGGCCCGGCCGCGCTTTGTGCTGCGCGTCGCCACCAAAGACTGGCACCCGCCCGACCACATCTCGTTTGCCAGCAACCACCCGGGCAAGCGGCCGTTTGTCGACTTTGCGACCGTCACCAACCCGCTGAACCCACGCGAGCCGTCGTACCAGACGCGCCTGTGGCCGGTCCACTGCGTGCAAAACTCGCCGGGCGCGCAGCTGGTGCCCGACCTGGACGTGCGGCGCGTCGACGTGGTCGTCGAAAAGGGCACCCACAAGGACGTCGAGATGTACAGCGCCATCTACGACCCGTTTACGAACCCGCGCGTCAGCGACAGCGGCCTCGTCGCGCGCCTCCGCGCGCACCGCGTGACGCACGTCTACGTCGTCGGCCTGGCCGCCGACTACTGCGTGCGCAGCACGGCGCTGGATGCGCTGCACGAAGGGTTTGTGACGTACATTGTCGAGGAGGGCACGCGCGCCGTGCACCCGGACGCGTGGCCGGCCGAGCGCGCGGCGCTGGCGGCGGCCGGCGTGCAGATTGTGCACATGGACAGCCCCGCCGTGGCCCAGCTGGGGTGACGAGGACCGGGGGGGTGGCTTGAAACTACATCGTACGCATATTATGACAAAGAGCAGCCACGCATCGGTCTGGCGCCACACAGGATCGCGGCGGCAGCAATCGGGATTGTTGGCTGCACGATGCACGGAGATCTCCCTTGTTTGAATCTGGTCCTTTTTGGGCCGCCGCCGGGATGGACGCGCGTGCTGTATCTCCGTATTTTTAACACCCTCCGGACACGATGCCCCCATCAGGCAAAAATCCGAAAGGCCCCGTGGATCGTTGGAAAAAAGGAACCGGTGCGGCTGGCTCCGATCGCCCAAGGTCCAAGAGATTTCCATTGGCAAAGGATCAGGATGGGCCAGGAGGGGGGCGCCGGTGCCCAGACTTGAGCTAAGACTGGAGAAAGGGCTTTCTGTCTGTGGGGTGCCGGTGGGCAGGTGGCACGACGGACGAGGCAAAGAGGAAAAAGGGACATAGCCTTGGGCGCATGTAGGCGAGAGGGTTCATCAAATAGAGAAAACGTAAACCGTCTTCGATAGCAGTGAACGAGAAAACGCGACATAACATTCTGATACAATAGGACACAAGGGGACAACATACGGCGTAGTAAGCAATTCCTGCCGTTTACGGTGTACCGTGTTCTCACGTTATTTTCCGCATAACGTTCCGACCGCAATGGCAATTACTTGGCTGAAATGGCGACATTGCTGCACCGTTTCCCAGTGAGTCAACGCGGCCAGACGCACGTTGCAGCTTCGGACGGGCGTCGTATCGGCCGCTTTTCAATTTTTAGCTTTCAGCACATCTGCTTGGCCAGTGTTTGCGGAGACGGATCGCCCAGGCGGTGTAGGTGGGCGACGTGATGGATGGCTGGCGTCGGGTCGGACGGCACTTCTCGTTCACCTATTTTTTTTCTTTTTTTTTTTTCTATTGTTATTTATTTTCTTTTCTCTATTATTTTTTTTATAAAAAAAGTCAGTCCGTTTCTTTTTACGTTACAACCCCGAACCAACATCAAAAAGGGTAGCATCCTTGCCGACCGGCCGTAAACTTTAATGTTAGGAGACGAAGTGGGCAGGGGAGACGGAAACAGAGCTGCTTCGTCGAGTGGTAGCTTTGAAATTAGTAGAGTCGTCAGAAGCGGACTACACGACAGTTCATAATAAGGAGCACTAGCCTCTGCATCCACTGGCCGTAGACACAATCTCACACCGCAGGCACAACTTTGTTAAACAACGCCGGCACCGGACGTTGGCTTCGGGTCAGGTTAGTCCGTCAATTATCATGTCATTCCTTTGATTTATATATCGTGACGTCCATTTTCTATCAGCATCACCATACATCTAACTTTGCATCTACACTTCACCACACTTCACATCTACACAAGAAACGCACACAACTCACACCATGGCCGTCTCAGACGACGAGCCCCGACTGGGTGACAAGGAACTAGAACAGTCCACCCTCCATAACGGCAGCCTCAATGGCAGCCTCTCCGACGGACCTGCCGAGGGCCAGCCGTCTGCACCACCCGACGAAAAGGACGTTGTCGAGACCGGGACGGATGCACACGTAGCTGCCGCCCCAGCGCCCTCGGCCGCCGAACCACTCTACGAAGACGGCCGCTCGACGCTGCAGACCGTCCTCATTATGGTGTCGCTCTGCTCCGCGCTCTTTCTGGGCGCCCTCGACGTCACCATCGTCACCGTCGCCATCCCCACCATCTCGGCCGACTTCCACAGCACCATTGGCTACACCTGGATCGGCTCCTCCTACCTGCTGGCCAACGCCGCCACCGCGCCCTCCTGGGGCAAGATCTCGGACATCTGGGGCCGCAAGCCGGTGCTGCTCGGCGCCGTCGCCATATTCTGGGTCGGCTCGCTGCTCTGCGCCGTCAGCATAAACATGACCATGCTCATCGTCGCCCGCGCCGTCCAGGGCATCGGCAGCGGCGGCATCATCATCCTCGTCAACGTGTGCATCGGCGACCTCTTCTCCATGCGCCGCCGCGGCCAGTACTACGGCTTCACGGGGCTCGTCTGGGCCGTCGCCGGCGGCATCGGCCCCGTCGTCGGCGGCGCCCTGACCCAGCACGCCACCTGGCGCTGGTGCTTCTACCTCAACCTGCCCATCTCCGGCGCCGGCTTCGTTTTGTTGGTCCTGGTCCTGCGCCTGCACAACCCCAAGACCCCCCTGCGCGCCGGCCTCGCCGCCGTCGACTGGCTCGGCAGCGCCGCCGTGTGCGCCGGCACCCTGCTGGTGCTGCTCGGCCTGACCTTTGGCGGCGTCCTGTACCCCTGGGCGTCGCCCGCCGTCGTGGTCCTGATCGTGGTCGGCGCCCTCGTCCTCGTCGCCTTTGGCGTCATCGAGGCCCGCGTCGCCCGCTACCCCATCATCCCGCTGCGCCTCTTCCGCGCGCGCGTCGCCGTCGCCTCCTTTGTCTGCTGCTTCTTCCACGGCGTCGTCTTCGTCGCCGGCAGCTACTACCTCCCGCTCTACTTCCAGGCCGTCCTCGGCGCCCCGCCGCTGCTCTCCGGCGTCTACGTCCTGCCCTACTCCATCGGCCTCTCCGTCGCGAGCGCCGCCACCGGCATCGCCATCAAGAAGACGGGCGTCTACCGGCCCTTTATCATTGGCGGCTTCGTGCTGCTGGCGCTCGGCTTCGGCCTCTTGGCCGACCTCGGCGACCGCGCCCACTGGGCCAAGATCGTCCTGTACGAGCTCGTCGCCGCCCTCGGCGTCGGCCCCAACTTCCAGGCGCCCCTGCTGTCGCTGCACACCACCGTCGACCGCCGCGACATCGCCTCCGCCACCGCCACCTTTGGCTTCGTCCGCCAGATGGCCACCGCCATCTCCATCGTCCTCGGCGGCGTCGTCTTCCAGAACCGCATGCAGCAGCAGCACGCCGCCCTCGTCGCCACCCTCGGCCCGGACGCCGCCGCCCTCCTGTCCGGCCGCAACGCCGCCGCCAGCGTCGACGCCGTCGCCACCCTCCTCACCGACCCCGCCGCCCGCCAGACCGCCCGCACCGCCTACTGGGTCGCCCTCCGCACCATGTTCGCCCTCTACGCCGCGCTGGCCGGCGTCGGGCTCCTGGGCTCCCTGTTCATCACCCAGACGACCCTGAGCAACGAGCACGTCGACCACAAGACGGGCCTCGACGGCATGCGCAGCCGCGACGACGACGACGACACGAAGAGCAAGAAGACCAACAAGGCGCAGCCGACCCACGGCGACGGCGCGACGGGTGTCAAGGGGGAGGTATAAGCGGGGAGGACGGGGCATTCTTTTGCCTTTTATTGTTTCTTTTCCATTCATCATGGGTCAGCGTGGCATCATAAACATAGATAAAAGTACATTCAACCTCATTACTATTGAACTAAATTCATACATTGACGTGTGAGGTGTTTTCAAGAACTCTAGACAGAAAATTAAGAACTTTATGAATTAATTTTTCGTGTATCAGTTTTACTAGCGGGGAGTATACATGTAAATGAAACATTCCAACAATTGGCACAACATGGCACAGTGATTCAATCCGGTTTTTTCTTGCTCGTGGTTTCATTTCTCGCATCCTAAGTGCTCCCAGCATCCCATGCAATGCTTGTCCCACAACACAACGCCTGTCTATCCTATCGCTTTGGCTTCTGGTTTGGCCTCTCCTACAAACCCCCTCAATCTACCTCTCCTCCCACTTGAGCGTAAACACCTCGTCGCCCGCGCGCGAGTTGCCCACCTCCACGCGGCCGTCGGCGCTGCGCACGCTCGGCGGGACCGTGGCGCCCTCGCGCACCAGCACAATCTTCTGGGTCGACGTCTCTGCCACGGCAGGGAGCTTGTAAAACGCCCGGCCGTGGTGGCTCAAGAAGCCGGCCAGCGTCGCCTCGGAGATGGCGTCTTCGGCAAGCACGCCGCGCGCGATGCCGTCCTGCAGGCCCCGCACGACCAGCTGCGTGGCAAACGGCTGCGTAAAGACGCCGGCCGGGGCTTTGCCGGGCGCGGCGTCCGTCTTTGTGTGCCGCAGGTGCGGCGCGGAGTCGCTGCCAAAGAAGAACTTGGGGTCGCCCGCGGCGACGGTGCGCACGAGAACGTCGCGGTCGGTGGGCTTCTTGGGGATGGGCTTGCAGAACGCAAACGGGTCGCAGCAGGCGTCCGTCTCGGTGAGATACAGGTGGTGGGCGGTGATGGTGGCTGCCACCGTCGGGCCGCAGGCCTTGACGGCCTCGACCGCCGCGGCCGTGGAACAGTGCTCGAGCTGGAGGGAGGTTAGGCAAAAAAAAAAAAAACAGAAGAAACACCGCCGGATACAAGGACTCACGATAATGCGCAGCTTGGGGAAGCGCTCGTGCAGGGACTTGAGGGTGGGCAGGAACGCCTCCTCGAGCGTGGTGCCAGGAGGTGCGAGCGACTCGAGCACCTCGCCGTGGATGTTGAGGACCATGTCGTGCTTCTCCATGGCCGCAAACGTGTCGTAGAAAGCCTTCATGTCGGCCACGCCGGCATCCGAGTTGGTGGTCACGCCCTGCGGGTACAGCTTGACACCCGTGATGCCCGCCGCAGAGGCCTGGGCAATGACCTCGGGCGTGATGGTCGGGTGGAGCTGATGGTCAGCAACAGATACATGACTTCATGACGCGGCGAGTGCTGTGTGAGAGCTCTGGGTTTAGTCGAGTGCAGGCTGACTTACGAAAAGAGACATCAGAAAGTTGACGCCGGGGGCCGCCGCCTCGAGCTCGGACTTGTACTCAAGCACCTGGCGCTGTTAGTCGTCTGTGCAGTGCCGCATGGCGTAATGAAGTGACACAAGGGCCACTTACCCGCTCAACCGTCGTCAATGGCGGAACCTGTGCTGTTAGCATGCTGTCGCTGACCGCGCCGTGCTCGATCCGGCACACAAGTCCACCTGGGTACCGCGCCATCGGGACACACCAGATTCGGCATCCTACACTGTTAGTTGATGATACCGGACAACGTCGAGTGGGCCCCTAAAAAGCAACTCACACAAAAGCCGTGTCAACGCCACCCTGGCGGACGGTCGGCGCCACCAGCTTCATCAGGTCGCCGTGGCGCATGTGGACATGCATGTCCGCCGCAGGCGGCAGCTCAATGCGGTCCACCGTCCGGAGATGCATGTTGTGGGCGGGGATGTGGTGGAGAGGGAGGATGGAGTGAAGAGGAGAAGATAAGCGTAAAGGTGAGACAGAAAGGGATCGTGGAAGTGGAAGTGGAATTGCCGAATGCAGTCGGGCAGTCCTTAGCATGTCTGTCTTGGGCAGGTGCAACTGATGAATGTCATCGGTCTCTCCTGCCGCGCCGTTAACAACTTTTTTTCTCCCACCTGCAGCCTTCCCGGCGCACTTGCCTCTAACTTGCCAGGACTAAGGCTCTAAGTCGGTAACGCCGCCTGCTATTGGCCAAAACAAGTCAAAGCAGGCCAAAACCGGAAGGCGGTAAGTGCCCAATTACAGCGTCCGCGCCTACCAGCACGCCGTCGAGTCATTGCGGGGAGGTGCCTGTGGCAGAAACGGAGCGGCAGAGAATAAGTTCGAGTGGTGCAGCAGCAAAAAAAGTCGTGGCCAACCCAAGCGAAATCGTCTTCTTGATCTTCGCTGATCGTCTTCCCAAACGATTGTAGCCCACAACATTGACGACAGACGCTGAATAACGAGCTACTTGCTACGAGACGACCTTTACGTTGTCCAGCGGAGCGATATGAATTTATAGCCTGGGATCTTACTCGAGCCAAAGCCTTTCTGGTCGACTGAGGCCATCTCTCGATTCTCAATTCTCGATTCTCGATCTCAACCTGACTCTCGCGACGGTCTCGCTTCGACCTCGAACTGAACGTCTCTCGACGACTCTTGTCCCAGCCTCCTCTCCTCCCACCGAAACAATGTCGTCCCGCTCCCCCAGCGAAGACCCCTCGAAAATCGAGCTGCTCAAAGATGCCCTCTACCAGGCGGCCGTTGACAACGGCGGCGAGGGCCGCCTCTGGAGCCAGCAGGACCTCATTGACTTTGACGTCATCCCCGAGGGCAACCTGGACCTGCTCATGAAGGCCGTCCAGGGCCTCTGCAGCGATTTCCTGTTCAAGACCATGAACGACGGCCGCATCGGGCTCTGCTGGCGCTACCGCACGGTCGAGGACGCCGCCAAGTACCGCACCCTCAACCAGGACCAGATCATGGTGTACGAGCTGATTGACGACGCGGGCGCCGACGGCATCTGGGCCCGCAGCCTCAAGCACCGCCTCAACATGCACGAGTCCGTCCTCAAGCAGTGCATCAAGCACCTGGAGACGCGCGGCTACATTCGCGACATGAAGTCCGTCGAGAACATTGGCAAGAAGATGTACATCAAGGCGACGCTGCGTCCGTCGGACCGGGCGACGGGCGGGCCGTGGTACTCGGACGGCGTGCTGGACGGCGACTTTATCGAGTCGCTGCAGGAGCTGGTCTTTGACGCCATCCGCAACCGCAGCACGTACCTGAGCCGCGTGCGGACGGCGGCGCCCGCAGCATCAGCAGCATCAGCAGCATCAGCAGCAGCAACAAAACAGCCGAAAAAAGGGGTGGTCCGTGGCGGGACCAAGGACGCTTCTCCTGGGTCAACAGCAGCAGCCGTAGGGGTCACGCGGGGACGGAAACGGACAGCCGATGCGTTGTCGACCGGCGGCGACAACAACAAAAAAGAGACCAACGGCCACGCCAGCAAACACCGCTCCCACACCCACCACACCGCCCGCCGCCAGATCCTGCTGCCCATGCCCGCCGGCTACACCGAGTACCCGACCGTGCGGCGCATCGCCGAGCTCATCGAGCAGTCTGGCGTGGCGATGAACACGACGCTCGGCGAGGCCGACATCCAGCAGCTGGTGGACCTGCTGGTGTACGACGGTCTTTTGGAGCCCGTCCGCCTGCCGGGCTCGCACGACACGGGCTACCGCGCCCTCAACGCCGCGCGGCTGGACGAGGCCTCGGCGTCAAGCTCAAGTCACGCCCCCGACACGCCCGGCGAGCCGCGCACCACGCCCAAGGGCGCCCCGCCGCCGCTCAACAACGGCCTGACCGAGTCGCCGTGCGGGCTGTGCCCCGTGTTCGATCTGTGCGAGGACGGCGGGCCCGTCAGCCCGGCAAACTGCGTGTACTTTAACCGGTGGCTGGGCCTCGAAGAGGCGCTCGAGCCGGCCGCTGTGACCGTCTTGGCGGAAGACGACTTTGACGAGGACTGAGATGGGAACTCTACAAAAGAAAATGATACGTTTGGAACACGGCTACTTGCATAACGGGGCAATCTATTTTTGGCACGGGCGTTTCGGAGCATCGGTCTTGGGTCTGCATCTGTATTTTATGAGTACCAAACGACGTGTATGCGCATTGTTATTAGCATTGTCTACGCTCTAGCCCAGCTTGACCGACGAGACGAGGAGCGTATTCTGAGCATAGCTTACAATTACAGACTACACATGATTCCTGGACACGGTTACGCGCAGATTGTACGTGCAAAAAAGCTCGAAACCTTTGTCAATTGAAGTTCATGCAGATGTGCCCTATGCTGGCGTCTGTCACGAAAACGTAATGGATACAGACCCCGTTTTTGTCCTCCGTTATTTTATGCAGACAGACGGTGCAATCGACCGTCTCACACGTGTGCAAGCGAAACAACATGTGGCCGCTTCTGCTTTACAGGACACCAGCACCGGTAATGGTGGGCTTGGGCGACTTGACGTTGCCGCGCTCGTCACCACACGCCTCGAGGGCCTTGACGACCTTCCACGAGCCGTCTTCCTTGTTGATCTGGCCAAAGACGACGTGACGGTTGTCGAGCCAGTTCGTGACGACGGTGGTGATGAAGAACTGCGAGCCGTTGCTATCAATTGTTAGCGATGGAACAAGGCATTTGCACGCATTTGCACGCATTGGCATAGGCATTCACAGCACACAGGGTAACACGTACGTGTTGGGGCCGGCATTGGCCATGGACAGCAGACCCTCGCGGTCGTGCTTCAGCTTGAAGTTCTCATCGGGGAACTTCTCGCCGTAGATGGAGCGGCCGCCCGTGCCGTTTTGCCGGGTGAAGTCACCGCCCTGGATCATGAAGTTGGGGATGATGCGGTGGAAGGGCGAGCCGACGTAGCCCTGGCCCTGGGGGCGCGTGCACAGCTCGCGGAAGTTCTGCGCCGTCTTGGGGACGACCTTGTCGAACAGCTCAAACGTGATGCGGCCCTTCTGCTTCTCCGACTTGCCGACGGGGTCGAAGTTGTCGTT